AAGCCTAGACCCCTCCTGGCAGGGAAGCTTCTCCAGTGCTGGGAAGCATCTTGAGAAGAAGAAAGGCAAACAGCCTGATGCCCTGGGTTCAAATACTGATTTCCAGCAGTTTCCATCTCCTTGACACTGGGCAAGCTGTTCTGCCTTCCTGAGACTTCCATTCCTCATCTGGTCAGGGGACAGTGACCTGTGCCTCAGAGGGAGTTAGCATTGGGCCCTGACGTAGCCACTGCGGCCCTCAGAGGTGGTAACCTCCACCTACCTGGGCACAGCTGACTTTCCTGCTTTCCCTCCTGACGGCCCCAGCCAGAACAGGATTCCATCAGCTCTTCCCACGGCCTGTCCTCGGCTGTTTTGTCTCCTTTTTTGTATTGACCCTTCCCCTGTGGACCCTTGGATTACAACCTGGCTTCTTCCAGTATTTACAAGAATACTACCCCCAGTATTAACAGGAAGCTTTGGGAGTTACTGAAAATTCCAGCCTATATCCTCACTTTGGAAATTGCATTTCAGCAGACCTAAGAGAGCTTTGAAGTAAGAAGTAAGTTGGAGGAAGATGAAGAACTGAGACAAAGCTGGCCCGAGAGCTCCCGGCTCAGCCCCTCCGAGCTCTCTTTGTTTCTTTGTGGGGTTTGCGGGGCCTCCTCTGCTCTGCTCAGTCCGTGCACCCAGAGGCCAGGCTGTCCAGCCAGCAATGTCCTACGCTGCAGACGGCCCGGGGGAGGCAAAGAGCTGCAAGTGCCTCATTTTCTATTTTTACAAGATGATCTCGGCCAAAGTCAAGAGGTCTTCTGAACTCAGTATGAGATTCCCTGAGCCCACAAGTGAGCCAGCAAGGTGTGTCCAGGGCATAAAGCAGGAGTGAGACTGACAGAGAGGTGCCCCTACCGCCTACCTGTTGGGGACCCCGAGACAAAAAGCCGGGCTCCCAGAGTGCAGTTTGGGGCCATGGAGATGATGTAACTTCAGCCGTAATTGTTCTTAACTACCTTCCTTAAGTTTGCAAAGATTTAAGCTCTTGCTTCTCACTCTGTACGATGAATGGATAAGAAGTGACATCAGAGCCTTGGGAGGATGGAACGTTCTATTACCACATCAGGGCTTTTATAACCAGCTGTGGTGCCACGCCACTCAGCAGGCTGGCAAAGCGTTTCTCCCTCACCAACTGTGACAAGAAAGAGCCTCACGCTGTTGACGTGATGATGCCCTCTTATACTGTTTTATTTTTAAAAGCAGTTAGCTACTTAGTTTCCTTTGCTGGGGAAAAGGACATTGAGGAGTCAGGGGTTGAATTTTTCCCACTTAATCTTATTGGTCATGACGTTTACTTTCTCAGAATTGCCAACCTGAGTTGGAAGTGGCCGTCAGGGTCCCGGGCTGCCCACTTCCCTGGCATCTGCCGGCCTTCGGCGGGAGCCTGCTGTGTTCCCCGCTCGAGTTCCATTGGAGCAGACCGCAGGGGCAGGCACTGTGGCTGAGAGCTTTTCAAGAGAGCCTCTCGTTCGCTCGTGCCAGGCCCACACTGTGAGGCCAGTGTGACTTACAGATCCTCATTTTACAGATGAGGAAACTGAGGCACGGGGAGGCTGGGTCATTCAGCCGTGTTCCCACAGCTAGTTAGTGATGAAGCCAGGTTGCGGTCCAGTCTGATTCTAGAGCACCTCAGCAGAACCCCTGCCCTGTGGCAAGGGAGGTCATAAATGATGATGTTATTCCACATGGGGAACGCTGTGCTTTGCACACATCGCTGACTCCCTGAGCAGTGCCCATGGCACAGAAGGGGAAAGTCAGTCTTAGGTGGCTAATAACCTGCCTGAGGTCAATCACAGAGCCGGGAAGTGGCTGAGCCCGGCTGGCACTGGGGTTGGCATGAGTTCTCCCCCATCCTGACATTACTCAGATCTGTGGGCTCCCCGGACAAGTTATACCCTGGAAAAATACCAGCCTGAAGTAGAGATCTTCCTGCTGTACTGTGAGTTGCGGTGGGACAGAGGCCTTGGCCTGCCTGAGAGAACCTTCTGTGTGCCACCCAGTGCAGGATGCTTGAGCATCTAACTGGGGAGCCACAGCCTGCTCACCAGCAGCCCTTAGCTCAGGGCTGTTGACTGAAGGCTGAGGTAGAAACCCTTCTTTGCTTCCAGAATGAGCCCCCAGCGCTGCGATGTGGTGACTCAAGGGGCAGTTGGCATGGTGCAAAATGCTCCTAGAACTTCTGGCTTTAAAGGCATGGTAACAGGTAGCTGGCTGTTCCGGTAACATTTTCCTTTGTGCCTTAAACATTCATTACAAATACTTTCACCTGTAACTCCAAACATGTACCCAATTTGAGACTGCTGGGCAGTGACTTTCTTGGTTTTCTGTCTTGGGGGTTTGTTTCATCTGTGGTCAGCAGGCCTGGTGAGTTTGGGGAGGTAGCTGGAGAGTGTGTGACAGGGGCAGAACGGGCAGCAGTGTGAGACTCGAGGTCCTGTCACTAGAGCATGTGTCCCTTTGTGCCTGTACCTGCCACAGGCCTGCAGCGGAATCCCAGCTTCCCGCCACCCTGCCCCCGGCAGGTCCCGCCAGCCTGGTGGTCTCTGGGAATCGGAATGCCGTGGACGTGGCCACATTACAAACATATCTTAGCTGTTAATATTCAGACTGTATAGAGACCTTTGGGAGGACGGCCATGGGGCCACAGGGGCCATAGAGAGGTGAGGAGAGAGTTTAAAGAAAAAGGCCGGGGGGGGCTGAAAGAAGATTAAAGACTGGAGCCACAGCTGACTTGGGGCAGGAAATGTGATAAATGGACTTGAAGAGTATGTTTACACTTCGACATAGTTTAAATTTCCTAGAGAAGACAATGTTCATTGTAATCCCAGATAAACTCGTTTAGAAACTTAGGAAAGAAGGAAACTTAGGAACACGCTGATTTTGGTAGTTGAAAGCATGAGACTATGCCTCTATGTATGGAAGACATGGTTGATACTATAGGTAGCCCATTTATATGGAATTGTATGAATTCACTTTTTCTAAATTTGTTTTTCTTTATGTTAATGTATTTTCTTAAAAAAGTGTTTACCTGTAGATCAGAGACATATTTTGTTTAAATTAAATTTAGTTTTATAGATTCAGTCCTCTCGGCTCTATTTGAATATTTAATTTGTTTTATAGAAGTATAACTCTCATTGAGTGAAACGTAAATTTCAGAAAATAGGTGGGTGGATTTTTTTTAAAGCGAATGTGAGTTGAAAGCTGGTCCATAAGTCCTGTTCTAGTGCTGGCGGGATTTCTCCTGACTGGGGGCTGGCTGAGAGGCGGCAGGCAGGGGTGGTGACCCCGCCCACCTGGAGAGCTCTGTCCCCTCCAGCTGTTGTCGGCCAAGCCTCTGAACTCAGAGCTCAGGGCTTGGGTGCACCTTAACTGCTTCCTGGCCAGGAGCTGGGGGATGGTTGGGGGCAGTCCTTATGGGATGGTGCCATCCCATGGGCTTCATGCTGGCAACTCACTCTCTCCTGCCAGACTGCTCCCAGTGGAAACAGATGTTCAGACAAAGTAAGCACTTGGTCACAAACACAAGAAAGGTGACTGAGAGAGTGCGGGAGAGCTAGAGCCAGTTTATACGACCAGCTGACACCCACAGGCCACAGGGAGCTCCAGCTCCAAAGTTGCGACTGACCACATGAGGTGCAGGGACAGAGATTTCCAAGAGGTTTGGCAGACGGGCCTGACTTCAGAGAACACAAGTGCTCAGGCTCTGGGCGTCCTGCTTGTTATTTCACCAGCACGGGAGAAAATTAGCAGAGATTTTTCTGGCATATTGGTCTGAGCGTTGTGTTGCTGTCGTGTTGTCATCACTTCCACCTCGGAGGGCGCGCACACTTCTGAAGTGGGGAGCCTGAGGGGGAGCGATTGCATCAGGCCCAGGGAGGGACCTGATTGGTCTGCCCAGCATGGCTTGATTCACTACCTAGAGGACGAGCCTGAGGCAGCCTCGGAGCAGCTTCCCTGCCTGCCTGGACACAGCCTGCCCACCAGGCTCTTCGGTCCCACTGCCAGCCATTGGTGGGTCAGCTCCCAGAGGGGTCCCCAGCCTGCCAGGGACAGTGGGAAGAGGCCAGGAAGTAACTCCCTTTCAGGAGGCAATCTTGATTTAAAATGCCGACTTGTTCCTCTGACTGCTTTTTCCACGCTGTGGAGGTAAGATTTTTTTTAAAGCATCTGGCATTCCTCTAAAGGTGGCATCACTCTCGGTTCAGTAGCTAGGCAGAGGGGCAGGGTCTATTGATGATCCTCTGGATTTCTACTGGATTGTCCCCTGGCCTGGGGTCTGTTCATATTTGAACCGTTCCAGGAAAATGAAGCTTGCTTGTAATTTTGTAGGAGGAAGGGGCCAAAGAATTTTGTGACTGTATTCTTACTATGCCCTTCTTTTTAATATTTTAAATTTCAGCATATTCGTATTAAATTCTCTCAACTTCTTCCTAAGCCTGAGTGAACATGAGATGGGTGGGATGTGCCAGGGCAGTGGTTGCTGGCCACTACACCCTGGACCCTAGGAGTGGAGAGCAGGTTGAGTCACCACAAGTTAGGATTTCTGTTGCTTCCTTTGTTTTCACAATTGGTTCAACTGTAAAGTGTCCAACCCCAAGACTCCGAGACCACCAGCAGTAGTTTAAATGAATTCTGTCACTTCCCAAGGCAAGTTGTTGAGAAGCAGCTTGTACACTCTCCTCTGGCCATGCTCTGTGTCCCCTCAGGTGTCCTGGGCATTTTAAGAACGTCCTGTTGTAACCCTACGTGCTCTGCCCTGTCCGAGGTGGGAGAGGGCAAGAGGGAGGGAAGGCCGATGGTGCTCGTCCTGCATGCCAGCTGCGGGCAGTCACCTGCTGCCTGGGAGAACAGTGACGCCTGTGTTGGAGCACTGCTCTCTCGACTTTTTCTGTTTTATTTTGTTTCAGTTTTTATTTCTTGAAAACCCAGAGTTGTTCATCTGTAAGTGTCCCCTTTATGTGTTGCAGGATGTTAAAGTCTTTAGTGAAGACGGGACGAGCAAAGTGGTGGAGATTCTAGCAGACATGACGGCCAGGGACCTGTGCCAGTTGCTGGTTTACAGAAGTCACTGTGTGGATGACAACAGCTGGACACTAGTGGAGCACCACCCGCACCTGGGATTAGGTAGGGAGCAGCACCTGGGGTGTGCAATCAGATGAAGACTGCAGCTGCCAAATGTGTCACCACAGTGTCCCCTGCCAGTACAGCAGGCAGTCTCTGTGTTGTCCTCCACGCTCCTGCCTCTTCTGTTTCTCTTGAAGTTGCACCTCCCTCCCTCTCACCCCTCGCCACTCGGGAGCTTTCCGAATCTTGCTCTTCGGTGGTTGAAGGAATACCTTCCCAAGGGCTCAGACACAGTGAGAAGGTTCTCCCTGTGATTTAGCTAGAGAACCTGGCTGCAAGAGGCATGTGGGGTTGGGGGAAGGTTGGGGGAAGCCTGGCGGTGCCTTGGGGAGAGTCTGCCACTTGCATGGTGCTGGCGTCACTCTGCAGAGAGCAGCTCTTCCAGCTGACAGGAGTAAGACCATGGTGACAGTCTGTGCAAGGGCACGGGGAGGCCCACGGGGATCAAAGCACACTGTGAAGCAATCTCATCTAAGTTGGAGTCTTACAGTGTCTCTCTGAGCTGGTTTGTAATGCTTTCCACAGAGAGCATGTGTGTGCGTACGTGTGTGTGCACGTGTGTGTGTTGTGCATAGAGAGCAAGAGGATATTTTGAAATATGTACTATTTACAGAACTTACTGAGGTTTTGTTTTCTGTGGGTTTTGTTGTGCTCAGGTGGTCTGTTTCAGGTAAAGAAGCTTTTCAGACGTACGTTCTTACTGAATAAAGTATGATGCTTTCAAAATCCTAGGTGCATATTTAAAACCAGAATTTTCTCTAAATCGACAGCTAACTCTTCGACGTCATGAAGGAGAGAAAAACGACACAGATTGTAATCTTCTTCCCATAGTCGTCGAGTTTTCTCATGAACCTTTCTGAAAGATTAATAAATCGAATTTAAACCTCTAGGTCTGGAATATTCATTTAACCAAATGGCATTCCTTCACCTGCTATATGATCTGAGCTGCCGTGCCGCAGTGTAAATCTGAGCGGGCATCGCTCTGTCACTGTGTCCGAGCTCCCCCGTACCGCTGGACATAACGGTGTGAGTTGAGAGTAGGAGTTGAGAACACTTTCCGATTTCTTCTCATCCCTGTCCATCTCCAGTGTACTGGTGCGTCACCAGAAGCTTTCTCCATTGTCACTGGCAGCCCTCTCCTGCCAGGCGCATTCACTGGTGCCACAGCACAGCGATGGTGACACCACTGTTCTGCAGAGACTGACTGTCAAGCTCCAGTTTGAGATATCCATGAGTGCATCCTACGGTGGTCTGATAGGCCCCCAAAAGCCTCTGTTGACACACGAGTCACTTGGAAATTAAACACTAGTTGGAACCCTGCAGTGTGTTTGTGCACACACACACATATGTATACACACATACATGCATACATACACATATCTACACACACTCATACAGAATTAATTTTAGAAGCATGTCTGCCTAGTTGGACCCAAATATAATGAGTATTGTTGAAAGCCCATTCAAAAGTCTGAATACTCTTTTAATCTGAAAGGAACTATGAAAGGATCTTCTGCAAATATTATCATACATGAATATAATGATACACACTGAGCACATATAAAATGGGTACAGATACACAGAAAAATTTAACATAAGGACCGTTTGAGAAATTTTGATTCCAGTATTTCTTGTGGTAGCACCTGATCTCTAGAACAGCATACAATAGATAAAGAAATTGTACATGTGAAAACTTTGGAAATGATCAACCACATGCAGAACAATTTACGCTGAAGGAGTCGAAAAAGAAATATGCACGTACGCACAGTATTCTTAGGGATGTGATATTTATATGTTTTATTCTTTATTGACCCTCTGAAACCTTCCACTGCACTCAAAGAGCCTCTTGCACTGCTGTCGCTGTATATTCTCTGCCTGTCCTTTTGTTTGTGATGCAAACCTATCAGTTAAATTTTTTTTTAATGGGTTAAGTTGCTATTCACCAGCAGTGGGAGAAGGGAAGGTACAGGACCCCGTTCCACACCACCTGTCGGGGGGCACTGTGCGCGTGCCCTTCAGAGAAGCCCTTGGTGTTTCCGCATTAAATCCCTGAGAATGGGTGTGAGTACACTGGCCTTGTGCAGGTCTTTACTGGGTAACGTTCTGGTGTGTTCCTAGTCCTCCTGGCATATACAGTCAGCGTCTCCTGGTCTCAGGGCAGAGCCATCCAGCCCCACTTCCCCAGGCACAGATAGACGCTTTTAGAAAGTCACTTTCTCTTATGGTATATATTGGGTTGCTGATGGGCACCTGCACATGCACAAGGCTGGTGGCTTGGGCAAAAGGTAGGCACTGCTTGCAGATCCGTAAGGCAGCTATTAAGGCAGATAGTCACCCCAGCCCCCAATAATGGAGAGCATAATTGAGCTAATTCCGATGGCATTTTTAGTCTATGTGTAGCCTCAGAAATTGAGGGTTTCAAAGCACAATTACTATATTGATCTATGCAGCTAAAATGTTAGATCCTTAACAATATTAAACCTTTTCCACACCCAGAAATGAGTGATGATTTTAAAAAGATGGGGCAGTCCCAAGATAGCCTTTACGAAGTGGTTTCCTTTTCACTAGGAGACCCCGCGTGTGTGTGAGTGTCCACAGCTTCCAACGGCCCCCACGAGCATGCCAGCCCCACCGTTGGCAGGGACACCGTAGTCACGGAGGAACAGGAACAGTGGCAACCCTCTGGCATTTGGCAGGGCAGCGTCTCTGGCTGGTGGGAATTTTCCTGCCCTCTCTCTGAACTGTGCTTCTTGCCAGAGCCAGAGCAAATGGCCCTTCCTCATCCCTAGTGTCAACTCCTGCAGTCATTTAGCACTCGAGATGGTATGAAACAGTGGGGCCAAGCCCTGGCCTTGGGAGGCAAAGCCTTTAGTGGTCAGTGACCATAGGTGAGCGTGTTCTCTGCTTTGTGATTTCCAGGGCCCCCTCTAGGGTGCTGTCTGTCTTCGTATGTCAGCCCCACGGGGCCTGCCTGTTGGGCATAGTTTGGCCTTAATATTCGTGTAGAGCTCTCAGCCATGGGGACACTGTCCCTCAACTAGGCCACTCAATAGCCACCAAGTCCAGCTGTGGGGCCAGAATGGGGCAGTGGCTTTGGAAGGCATCTGCCCCGAGCACGTGAGCTGCAGGTCTGCAAGGCTCACCTCAACCAGGACACTGTCACACGTAGAGGCCGGAGGGAAGTGAAACAGCCATCCTGCAGCTGTATCAAATAAACAAACCATTTTTTAAATGAATTTTGAAAACAGATTTTGGCATGCAAAACAGCATCTTGGTGCCCCCATAAACTTGAAAGTGTAACTGCAGATAAACTCCGTTCCCGGGAGCACGGGGGCTCCTGGTGCCCAGGGCTCCCACACGCAGGCCTGAGTGACCACAGGCATCAGGCTGGATGGCAGGAGAGGCTGGAACGTAGACCTGGAGCACAGTGAGGAGGAGTCGCAGCCAGGTCCCCTGAACTTCCAGGATTTGGGGAATTCTGTTATGTGAATTCATCTGAAACATCTCAGGAAAAAACACAAACTCTTTCTTGGGCTGTTTACAGCTTTGTGTTTGTCCCTGGTCAGGTGAGAAAGGTGTGGCAGTCGCCCTTTGAGGACTCGGCCATGACCCCTCGGACGCTGACAGCTGGCCATGTAGACAGGTGTTGAAGGAGCAGCAGCGGCTCATCTTCAGCGCTTGGTGCTCAGAGGGGCCTTCGCAGGCTGGTTCTCTGCCATTTCTATCTCCTTGTCATTAGATCTGAAAGGCACCAAAATGACGTCCTTTCCCCACTGAAATACAGAAACGGAGGGCCGTTTATCAGGCATATCCAGACATCAGGCATGCTTTCTGTGGGCTTGTTATCTCGCCCATGACTGCTCACAATTTCTCACAGTCCGGCGAAGCCCGGGGCCACTGTTAAATGCTCATTGACAGCCAGCTGTGTTCTCTGCAAAGGGTGGGCTGTGCTGGGTGGCTGACGAGGGGCTGTGTGTGGGCCCAGGAGTGGGGAGCAGTGAGGTGGGATGCTGACGCCAGCCAGGGTGGCTCAGGTTTCTGCTCAGGAGTCCCATGTCTACTGCACATTTTAAGGCATAGAAGTAAGGTTTGATTTTTGAATATTTTTCATGTGGCGTAGGGGGTGGCGTAGATGCTGGACTTAGTTTCAGAAATTTGAAAACTACGAATACCCTTCAAGGAATGTCTGACTCTTTTATTTGCACAAAAAGTCCTTTTGGAATGCTCTGATCAATCGTAGCATTCCAGTTTTACTTCAGGGCGTTGTAATAATATGAAGTTTATAGATGGTGATGTGATCGTTTAATAGAATCACTAAGATCATTTGAAAATACACGTTTTTAGAATCACAGAGAAAATTAGAACTGGAAAAAAGAGCTTTGACCCGATATTGCTGGTGTGGCTTTTGACAGCTGTGAAAACTGATGTGCTGGACATTCGGTGGCAGACGGAGGCCAGACAGCCCCTGGGTCTCTGGGGTCAGTCTTCCGACCCTGCTGCTGTCCGCTGTCCCCCACTCACTGTGGGTGCGGAAGAGGGAATTGGGGCAGTGACTCTCGTTCTCACCTGTAGGTGTCCTGGGCCTCCCTGGCGTGACCAGTGTGACCTGGAGCAGAGAAGCATGCTCCTTTCAGGATACATGGCTTCCCTGCTCCCCCTCTGCCCTGGGCCCCGACCACCCAGGACACTTCACAGCCTGTTTACGCTGCTGTGCACAGCTTTCCCAGGATCTCGCCAAGGCGGGGCCCAGGGCGGCAGAAAGAGGTTGTCCAGGAGGACGGGAGCCTGCGTGTGCCTTGGTCATGTGCCCCCTTAGAGCTGGTGGTTCCCCCGGGTCCCTTTGGGATCTTCTCAGGACTCTTGCAGACAAAATGCCTTTTGCTTTGGAACTCGACATCTATCTTAGGTAGCTGTGTCCTTGATTTTTTATTTCTCTCTGTTTCACCTGGTAAAATATTTTAATTCTATACACAAACCATCAGCATGTTATTGGATTGTTTTTTTCCCTATAACCACAGAAGTACTTTCTCTGAATAAAAATCTCAGTGGAAGGCACTGATTTGTGTTCCACCTGGAAAATCCATTTTAAATGAACGGCACTGAGCCGACCGCTTTTTTGAAAGCAGACATCACAGCTGTGCGTGGCTCTTCTCTTCTCTGTCATGAACAAACGTAGGTCAGGGTTTTGGTTCCCGTGTTGCCAGCAAATTCTCTCCACAGTCCACGAGTGAACCTGTTTGTAGTTTGCCGGTGGTACCAGTTCTGGCCCTTCCTGCAGGACCATGAACTTTCTGGCAGTCACGGGGAGGAAATTCCTTTCCTTGGCAAATTTGGGCTTCAAGTGTATTTTTACCAAGGAATCCTTTCCTCGTGATATCCAAACCAAGGCTGAATGTGCTCCTGCGTGCCGGTGTGGCCCATCTTGGATGAGCGCCCTGGAGACGGTCGTCCTCTCTAGACAGAGACTCTTCTTCCATGTTCTGAGATGGCTTTGGCTTAGAAACGCCTTCACTCTAAACTTCATTCCTTCCTTCAAGATGAGACTTTTCTAGGGAGAGACTTTTCTAGGGATTCAGCTCTGGCAGCATGAAAGGAGGTAGGGGCTTTGAAGCATCAATTTACCCCTCTTGTGCCAATTTGGAGCATCTCATTCTCTACCATTTTGGTATCATTTCACACATTGAAGCTGCCGTGCATTTGCTGGTATTGTTTATTCCATTATTTAATATGGGAAGTTCCTGGTGATGCCCTCCACACACACACACATCAGAGCAGTCTTTGAGACATGTGGCAGGGGTGTAACAAGCATTGGACCAGAGCTGTGCCACGTCTCCTTCGTGCTTCACATGGAACCAGAGTGTTCAAACAGCGAGGGAAATGCCTTTTCAGGGAGATGACGCTGCTAATGCAGATGCGCTGAAGTGTATGTGTGTGCCTCTGAGCACGCAGGAGTGAGTGCTGTGTAAAATGTGTTGTCTTCCCTGCCCTGACATCCAGTGGATGAGAACAGCTCTGGGGTGCGGGTACAGGGGCCTCAGCGTTAAAGATGAGTGTGTTCCGACAGACTGTATGATGGTAGCGTGCCCTTCCCGTTTCCTATTCCCGGCACCATTTCAGGCAACTGAGTTCCATGCACTCAGAAGCATTGCTGCCTTTCTGCTTCTGCTGGCCCCACCTCCTGCTCGGTCCTCCTTGCTCAGTGCCCCCACCACCACCATGTTCTTTGTCTTGGGATGTTTTACCCGTTGTTATAGTCTGTGTACTTTACAAGAGTTGAAAATGCTTAATTTAAGGGTAAAATTGTTTGCTTGGAGTCTTATTGACTCTCTCCTTGACTTTTTGTTGATGCCAGATTGAGAAGACGTGTGTAGGAGTAAGGACTGACCTGAATTCCTTAGACTACACATCTTAAGACCTCTAATGCGTTTGGTAGTGCATTAAAGAGATTTAAATTCAATTTAGTTCTTGACCTCATCTTCGCTCACAGTGTTCAAAGAACAGAAAGTCAGCCAGGTTTTTAATTGATTGAAAAGCTGCCTTGAAGGTTCGGCCTGTTTCATCTCTCACGTGATTTTGTCTCATGCTTTTCCTCTGCAGAAAGGTGCTTGGAGGACCATGAGCTGGTGGTCCGGGTGGAGAGCACCATGGCAAGTGAAAGTAAATTTTTATTCAGGAAGAATTATGCAAAATATGAGTTTTTCAAAAATCCAGTGGTGAGTCTTATTTCTTTCGGTTTGGGGTTTGGAACTCTTGAACTCTTGCAGTTTATACTTGGGTTTAACAGTAGCAGATTACAAAATAACTGACTGAGATGTAGGGATTCACAGATGGATTTGAGAACCGAGTTGCTATTTAAGCAATCCTTGCTCAAAACTCAATCTCTCATGCTTAACTAAATGCCTTAGTACTGGCCAAAGATCACCATCACTTTCTCCCAATAGTAACAGTGGGAAAGGGGGTTAATCTCTAAGTAGAGAGACAGAGAGGAGGGACAGGCTTTCTCAGTTATTTCAAAAGTTCTTAAATTGGAACAAATTGGTCAAATACTTAGTAGAATTAAAAACTCATTATTCTCTGAAAATAGCAAATGTTATTTTGTGATTATTTATGGAAGAATGAGTAGAAAAATCAACATCTAGGCGTGTTGAGTAGTTGCCTTGGTTTTCTTTCCTTTTTGGGAGGGAGGGCGCTTGTCTTGTGAAATGTCAGGGTAGGGAGCCTGTCGCCTGCCGTAGCACGTGCTGCTGCCCCGAATCACGAAGCAGAGCCACCAAGACTTGGGGAGAAGACCCCGTGTCAACCTCTGGCTCTGGCAGTTTAGCCGCTCTTTTGTTTGAAAGTAAGAAATCTGATAACTGGTTTTGGGTAATGCACCAGAAAAGGCTTTTTCACATCCCTGTGCTCATCTTTTAGCTTCCAGAGTTCTTTATCTCATGCCACACTTGTGTCACTGAGTTATGCTGTGTGGTGGCCCTCTGCCTTGGTGCACACTTTGAGATGTGAATTCATATTAAACATAATAGATGCTCCAAACCTGGATTCAGCATTTAAGGAAACAATACATCCTTTTGATGTAGGTGTTTCCATTGTGTGATAAAGGAATTAAAAGGACTGTCATTTTAAATACAAATGTACATAATCATACCTGTAGGAATGTTTTTAGTACTGGCATACCTGTAAGTATGCTTTTCCCCACTTTTAAGTAACCTTTAACATATTAGTTTTTCTATTTCCTTAGAATTTCTTCCCAGAGCAGATGGTGACTTGGTGTCAGCAGTCCAACGGCGGTCAGACCCAGCTTTTGCAGGTACTGGCCAAGAGCAGACTTCTGCTGGGGCTTCTGGGTGGATGTCCTCTCAGGCTGTAATGGCAGCCTTGTAAAAACTTGAAGTGACTGCGTTTCTAATCATGGATTTGCCTTGGCTCCTAATGGGGTTTATAATACCAGCAATAAATGTTTACTTGGGAAATCTGTGGGTAGCCAGGCTCCTTCAAAGTGAAACACGCACTTTTAAACGGGATAAACTTACTCTGACTCAGAAGTGATCCAAGCAATGTGATCCTTGAGCGTGGCTGAAGGGGTAGGATGGAGAAGCCACAGGCCCCGTGTTCTCCGCGAGGTCCCAGCTCGTCTTGGAGCACACGTCTCCAGACAGGCCACTGCCCAACTGCTTGGAAATCTCTCCAGAAGTACTGTGTCCACTCCATAGTAAAAAATTATGGGGTCACCATCAAATCCTTTGAAAAGTAACTTACTACACATTAAAACTGAGGGCACCTGTCTTTTTTTTTTTTTCTGGTGAGGAAGATTGGCCCTGAGTTAACATCTGTGCCCGTCTTCCTCTACTTTGTATACGGGACACTGCCACAGCATGGCTTGATGAGCGGTGTATAGGTCCACGCCCAGGATGCGAACCCACGAACCCTGGGCTGCCAAAACGGAGCATGTGAACTTACCCACTATGCCACCAGGCCAGCCCCAAGGACACTTGGTTTAATTGTCCCTCTGCTTTCTCAAGTCTGTTCTAAGAAAACTTGGCCTTTCTCCACTAGGGGCCTCTCTACGCTTACTGCTGACTCATGCTCTTCCAGGGAAATCAGGAACAGAAAAGGGAATGTTATTGCTGTGCCCCTAAACCTGTGTCTGTTTGCAAAGTGTTAAGTGAGAAAATAAACTGTTCACTAAGGTAACTCCCGCTCTCCAGATGCCAGCAAGTATAAGAGAAACTACTAAAATTTAGTTTCTGTAAGATTCTGTCCATAGCCCCTCTTTTTCTGCTTTATTGATCACCGGATCTGTCTGTGCCTCCTGAAAGATGAGAGCCTTGGTGCAAGCTCTGTTCTGGTGGTCTCTTCTGAAGCCCTCCCGACCATAGCGTTTGTCTGTTCTGGCAGGAGTTTTCGACATTTGGTTATGGCCTGTGCACAATGATGGCCAAGTGGCTTTTTTAATTGCCGTTTGAGATGGCTTGTGTGTCTGTGAGGGTGCTGGGTGATCTCTTGAGACTCTAGAGGGACTGGCCCAGGTGCATCAGGACTCTGTCCAGCTAGCCCATCCCACCTGCAGGAGGAACTGTGTCCACTCTCAGTCCAGTGGAAAGGATGCACCAGCGTTACCTCCTCAGCCTTGCTGCCAGGCCTGGCTCTTGGACTCTCTTTCCCACAGAAAGACATGCTGCCTGTGGGAGGAGTTAGCTGGGATGGTGGGCTGTCACCAGGGTGTTCCAGGAGAGATCATGTGCAGACAGGCCCCGTCTACACACCTTTCATTTGGAGGGGTACGTGGTGAGAGGGACAGCGAGGGGCTTGCTCTCGGTCCACAGGGCTCCTAAGCAGTTGCTACTGGCACTTCCTCTGGCCCCAACTCCAATGACCAAGTTATGTATTTTATGGAAAACTAGAATAAAGGGCAGCATCCTTAAGTGTATGTCATGTAAGGAAATGTGTGAGTTCGTGTTTTTTGCCAGTGTTAGAAAGGTCCACTTGCTTGTGTGTGTTTAAATACTAATTATGTTCTAGACAACACCATTTTAAATGGGATTTTTAAGACTTTTGTGTGTGTGTGTGTGTGTGAGGAAGATTAGCCCTGAGCTAACATCCATGCCAATCCTCCTCTTTTTTTTTTTTTTTTTTGCTGAGGAAGACTGGCCCTGGGCTAACATGTGTGCCCATCTTCCTCCACTTTATATTGGACGTGGCCACAGCATGGCCTGACAAGCAGTGCGTCGGTGCACGCCCGGGATCCAAACCCCGGGCCACCGCAGCAGAGCGCGCGCACTTAACCGCTATGCCACGGGGCCAGCCTGGGATTTTTAAGACTTTTGAAACGTATCATTTGAAAACTTTCAGTTTGACCAAAAGAAGAGTCTTTTAGTAATTCAGAAAAAATCAAAATGTCAGTGATGCTAATCACATATTTGCTTTAATTATTTTATGTCAGCATTATCTGACTTTTGAAATTTGCCCTTCAACAGAATTTTTTAAACTCCAGTAGTTGTCCTGAAATTCAAGGGTTTTTGCACGTGAAAGAGCTGGGAAGGAAATCGTGGAAAAAGCTGTATGTGTGTTTGCGGAGATCAGGCCTTTATTGCTCCACAAAGGGAGTTTCCAAGGTGAGTTTTAAAGTCACCACCAGGCTGGGCATGTCCACAGTGAACGTGGGCTTCATGTTAAAATCATAGGCTCCTCCAAGCTCATGATAACTTATTGAGCTAATTGTGTAACAGCTAAACTCAGAGTTACTGGTCTACTGGTCTACCTCAGAAAGCAGGTGATAACAGAGACCTAGGAACCTCGGGGCTGAATCTTTCTTGCACCCCAGGCTGTCCAGCCCAGGCCCCCTCTGTGGGTTGGGAGTAGAGCCTTTTGGCTGCCTGAGTCTCTTTTAAAAAATGCTGACTTAGTTTCCTTAATTTGGAAGTTGGCATCCAAGCTAGCCATCAGGATGACTGATAGATTAGTGCCACCATAATGCCAGTCTAATACCTGGTGTTATAGACATTTTATGGAATAAATTGCAGTTTTGCGTGTATCCCCGGTGGGAAGAGGAGGTGAGAGATGGAAAACAGCTGCAGGCCTCCAAAGAGAGTCGGGGCGTTGTGGGCTTGCCTTGCCAAGGGTCTCCTTTGGTGTCTTTGCACACCGTTCCCTACTCTTTTCTTGTAATGTCTGAGTACGCCCTGCAGTGGGAGTGTGCCCAGCAGACCTTGGCCGTGTGTTTACCATCTAAGAGCTGTCGTGTCTTCTGTTCCTGCCGGGAGAGAGGAGGGAGGAGCTGGTGGGAGCCCAGGCGAGGGTGCTGAGCATCAGGCTGGCTTAGTGCGTCTCTGGGAAGCCAGCAGCTGCCGAGGGCGGGAGCCAGAGAGAAGGGGCATGGGCGGCGGGGCCCCTCCCCTCTGGAGATGGAGTGTCTTGCACCCAGTGCAGGGTGGGGAGGTGACTTCCCAGCTCTGGTTTATGGCTCACTCCCCATCCTTGTGTGGAATGAGGACATGTGTAGCCCAGAGCAGGACAGAAAACTGGGTTGGAGAGTGAAGGAGGAGCAGGATGGGACAAGCCGTCCGTGGGAAAATTTCAGGCGGAAGTGGACTCTGAGCACACAGCACAGCAAGGTGGCTGAGTCCTGCATCTGAGAGTGTGCTCTTAACTTTGACTTTCAGTGTTCAGACTTTCTTCTGGTTTTCACTTTGAATATTTGGTTATGGGGCTTTGATTTGGCAGAGTATCAAATGCATTCTAACAGTCATGTCTGAGAATTGGGAGGTGGGTTTTTTTGGTGGGGACTTGGTGAATTTGGTTTTAACTTAGCACTTATTTTATACAATGGTTATAATCTGTAGAATATCAGAGGGGAGATGCATTGAAAGCGTGCACAGACTGCCCTCTGTTGACGAGGACATGAAAACATTTACTCTTTGCTGTACTCGAATTCTCCACCGACATGAATCTGACCAACCTTTTTCACAGGAGCCCAGACACCTGCAGTTGCTCGCTGACCTGGAGGACAGCAGCGTCTTCTCCCTGATTGCCGGCAAGAAGCAGTATAGCGCCCCCACTGACTATGGCTTCTGCATAAAGGTAGTCTGCCTCCAGGCCATCAAGAGGCTGCTCCTCACTGTCAGCATGCCCCTGGAAACTCTAGAATTAAAACAGTAAACTCCTTTCTTGGCTATTGCTTTTTTTTTTTTTTAACAGAAACGCAGTTTCACTGAATTTTTTCATTCATGTAAAAATATTTCATGTGTGCTTATAATGTGTTGGTCCTTGAGTAGCTCAGAAACTCAGGGAAGAGCAGAGTACACAATAGACAATGCCGGTCGATGGGCTCAGTGGCCTAGTGACCCCCAGCCTGCCAGCTGGGGGCCTGCAGGGTGCTGAGTGAGCGGACGCCTTCTGTGGAGGCTTCCGGTCACCAGGATAGTAGGATAGGAGTGACCACAGCATTGCCCTCCCTCTGTGCACATGTGTGAGGGCACGGGCTCACACATACTGCACATGCATGTACACATCTATGTCAATACACAGATATGCACACAAACACATACCTATATGCTTGCACGCACCAAGGGGGATACAAAGATCTGCAAACATACACATTCGTACATATGCACACATGTGCCCACGTGTACACACACACACACACACACACACACACACAGACACCGCTATGGACAGGGCCTGCTCTTCTCCCCTGGGGAGGCTGTGGTGATGTTGGTCATCGTAATAGTAGATTATATTTACTGAATACTCACTGTGCGTGAGACGCTCTGCTAAGGGTTTTATCTCCATCATCTTATCGAGTCTTCCTGGGTGCTTACAGGGTGGGACCTGAACCAGCCCCATTGCTCACATCCGGTAGCCAGTGAGTAGCTGTGCCTGGAGTCACCCAGCTGGGCAAACTCAGGAGCCAGAGCCTGATCCCATCCCGAGGAGAGGATGGGGAGCAGGGAGCACGTTCTGTCCTAAAATGCTGTCTTATACTCCATTTGCTGAAGCTTCTTTGGGTGGCAAGTTATAGGAGCCTACTTCACACCAGCGTAAGGCCCAAGTATACTGGAAGCCACTGTGGGAATGTGGCCTCAGGAGGGCCTGAAGGTGGGAGCAGGAGCCGTCAGGGTCCAGACAGCCAGTCCCTCTGCCTTCCCACCGGCTCACACCAGCGGTGCCCTTTCTCTCTGCAGACTGGCAGTCTCTGCTTCTGCAGCATCAGCCACACGCAGGGACTGTCACTCCTCTCCCTCACTCCACCCTCCAGATTCCCAAGGCAGAGAGCTGGGTCAGTGTCCGCCCAGCACTGTCGCTTGTATCTGGGGTCAGCGGGCTCACATGGAGACCCAGATAAGCTTATGCCTGCAACGGTTTTCCTCCATCACCAAATAAACCCTGCCTCTGAGTGGGAGCATCTGCCGACTACATGGCGGGAGCTGTGACGGTGACCCTCGCCTGCCTCAGGCTGCTTGTCCCACGTTAGTCCCCCTTCTCCAGGGTGACATTGGTCTCACTCTCTGGGCCTTCCTTGGGGTCCGTCCTGGGGGCCACTCAGACACTCCAAGAGCCCTGAGCCCCTCAGGGATTCTCCCCTCACTGGTGAACCCCTGCAGGGGCCCTTCCTCCCGCTGCCTGCTCAGCCTTCCTGGGAGGCGAAAGTGAAGATCTTGTCTTCTGGGTGAACTCTGGAGCGGGCTTTCCTCCCATCGAACCCAACATCCCCTCCACAGAGTTAGACAACCCTCTCTGTCCCTGTCACCTTATCTGCTCATCCTGTAATAGTTTACCTTCTTGTTTGTCTCCTCTGGGCTCCCCTGTCAGAAGATGGCTGATCATTCCACTTAGTAACAAGTAATTATAACCAACCAAGGCTGGTCCACGTCAGGTACAAGAAAGGTGCCCGATGCCAAGGGGTGTGGACGCCTGCCCGTGCCCCGCTCTGGTGACGCCCAGCTGATCGTGTGGTGTGTGTAGGTTCATCCCCTCCTTCACGTGAGGAGCAAGAGCATGTGTCTGATTCGCTGTGTTATACTCATGAGGTCTTTTACCTTCTTTAGCCAAACAGAGTCCGGAACGAAGCTAAAGGGCTGCGGCTGCTGTGCGCCGAGGAGGAGCAGAGCAGGACCTGCTGGATGACGGCCTTCAGGCTCCTCAAGGTACCCCGCGCCTCGCGGCGTGCGGCTGTGCGCATCTCTTCCTGGAAGATGCCCGCCACTCTTCCCCTGTTCCCTCACAGTGTTCTGTCAATCGAGTGTAGTCACACACCTTTCCCAGTGGGGTGTCAGGGGCTTCTCACAGAGGCGGAACCTTAGAAGGGGCAGACCTGGTTTCCGACCTCGGCACTGTTGACGTTTGGGCCGGGCAGTGGGCTGGCCTGTGCATTGTAGGACACTTAGCAGCATCCCTGGTCTCCCCCAGTAGATGCCAACAGCACCTCCACCCTGCAACCAGATGAGACAGCCAAAAACGTCTCTAGACATTACCAACTGTCCCCTGGGGTGTGAGGGGCCAGGAACTTCCGCTGGTTGAGAACCACTGGGTTAGAGGAATAAGAATTGAAAGGTCAGGACCAGGGAAGTGGGGAGAGAGCAGATGGTTCATCAGGAGGGTTAATTATTCTCATGACTAAGCATCAGACTCCCGGCTTCCCTCAAAGCCAGGGCCTGAGGGAAACGTGACAAATTGTACCACTCGCCGTAGCACCTCAAGGGAAATAGTGTCTCCTGACAATAAGTTCAAAAAGAAAGTTATTGCGTGAACCTCATATGGGATAATGCCCCTGACGGGACTTGCACAGTAATTGCCAAAGTGATTTCATACGGCTCTTTAGTAAAAGCTAAGCGCATAACCGTAGAGCACATCTCACTTTTGATTTCCCACAAAATGTTCCTTTGCAAACACACGTACACCACATGTCTAGAACTTCCTGTGTATGGAAAGTCCGTGCAAGTTGCAGGTTAGTTGACTGAGACAAATTTGGCTAAAGTCAAGGTGTCTGGAGGAGAAGTTTGTTTGTTCACCTGTGGCTGCCACATGCAAAGGTCTAAGAATCTCTTTGCAAAATCCCCCAGCCCTCATTGACGCTTTCAGCTGGTCTGAGACGCAAGGTGGAGTCACTCAAAGAAACAGACAAGCAGAAGGAGGCTTAGCTCAGCTCTCTCCTTGGAGATGCCACAGAACACAAGCTCCAGGGTTAGGCATCCTGTATGCCTCTCTGTCCCAGGACCTAATTTTGTTTTATTTTTGCCACTGATTAAACAAAAAAAGATTAAAATTAAAATGTTGCTATTTCATAACAGAAGAGGAAATGTTAGTGTTGGTATCCTTTACAAGCCAGTTTTGGATTTAAGTGTCCATCAATAGGAGACTGGTTAGGTGAGTTACAAGATGTCCATTCAGAGGAATACCCTGAACAAGTTAGCTCTCTGGGTTCTATTGTGGAAAAATTTCCAGGATATATTATTTACAATTAAAAAGCAAAGTGCAGAACAGTACATAGAGAGTGTGCGACGTTTCGGGGGGCTATTGGAAATCTGTATTTACATTTCTTGGTATGCATGTCAACGTTCCGTAAGACTGCAAGAGAAAATAAAGAGGTCTCTTCTGGGGAGAGTGGATGCAGCTGTGCAAATGGGGGCAGCAGTGGGAAGGAAACCTTTCAAGTTGTATATATTTGTGTGATTTTTTTTTTTTTTTATCTGTGAATATAGAATCTATTTTGGAAAAAGCAGTGAAAGTAAATGAAAACGGAAAGTGGTATCACACTATGAAGCTATAAATGTTATTACTTTGGGTGATACACAGTAAATCCAATGAGCAAGTTCTTACCCTCTGCTTCATGCGTAAGGAAGAGCAGGGATCTCTCCTTTGGTGCCATCATGACATAACTAGGCACAGGAAAGGAAAGGGGCAGAGCTGATAGTGATTATAATAACTGACTTTGTTATTAGCGCTAACAATAACACATTACATAGTATGTTAACGTGATATTATGAACATTTTTGAGCATTTACTGTGGCCAGGCACTCTTTTTATCACCTCACACCTAGGACCTCGTTTACTCCTCACAACAGCTGTGTGACATATATGTTATTATCATCCCCATTGTTCAGATGACAAACCTGAAGCCCATCCAGTCATGCTCCAGGTGTGGCTGCTGGTATGTGGCAGAGCCAGCATTAGAACCCCAAAACTGTGGGCTCCCTTCCTAGCCACCACGCTTTGCTGCCCTCCCTGAGAGCCACCAGGAAGTCGAAAATCCATTCAGTTCTGAATGTGATCCCGTCGTCCCAGCCACTTTGCAGGTAGCAGTTTTCATCCAGTGAGCCGCAGACTCCACACGCTCAAGTGCCGTTGCTATAGGAGCATGGAGGCCTGGACCCAGTGTCCACTGCAATGTGGCAGTGACAGGCCCTTGAGCCATCTCAGGTGAAGCGGAAGTTGAGGTAGGCCTTTCTGTCCTGGCTAGTGATGCTGCTCTCACGTCTCTGCCACCACTGAGCCTGCTCACAAAACAGCATCTGATGTGAGAATCCTTACAACAGGACGACGTCTCCTCCCTCCCTGGCCCGAGTTGTCCTGGTCAAAGAAGGGGAAAGCGTAGTCAGAACACTACGTTCTATGCTGACAGTCCCCCTCCTGCGCCTGCACGTTGCCTTCAGAATGGGGGGGATTGTGCCAGGTACTTGTGCCATTTGAAGCGGTAGGGAAACCTTCTCAAGTGCCCCCTGTTTCCTTGGCCCTGCGACTCTCACAAGCTTCTTGGATGTGAGCATCGACTCACATCCATCATCAGTCTTTTCTCCTTGACCGGGAGACAGGAACCAAGGTGGGCGGTAGCAGGTCAGCAGGCCGCAGGGACCTGACCATCCGTCCAGATCCATCCATCCATCCTCCCTGTGCTTGCTCTGTGCCTGATCACGTGTCTGGGTGTCATCTTGCCTGCCTCTTCCCAAAATCCTCCTTGAGGACAGCAAGTGCTTAGTGCTCAGTACTCAGTAGATGCTTAGAAAATTTGAATCGAAGTAAAGTAAAAGCAACCCATACTCCCGTGTCTGGCTTCAACCAAGCAGCTGTTTCTCCCTCTTGCTTGCCTGATGTTGTGGGCAACACTGGAGTCGACCTGAGACTGTGCCCCTGCCTGGGGTTGGCAGGGTCAGCAGATGGGGGCTTTGGACCACAGAATATATAAGATCCTCTCACAGAGTCTGGTTCTCAGGCCTCCACGGGGGTGTCTCGCCAGCACAGTCCATGGAAACGTTGGGTTGTGCCTCTTCATGGTTGACTTGAAGATCTTGTCTGCAGTAAGTGATGAGGGGTCCCTCCCAGCTCTAGCCCTCAGACTCTCTTGCCCCCTAAAAGTGGATCAGATGTACCCTGTCCTCATGTGGAGGAAGTGGACAACGCACAGAGGATGCCTTGTTTTATAACCGACATCAGCCCTGAAGCATAAAGCTTTGCCTCCCCACTGTCCCTGACTCCATCCAGGAATCATTTCTGTGTAGTGGGTAATCCTGAAATAGCTATTTGGATTGTATTAAAATCCCAGGGATTTCTGAGGAAAACCTTATTTTATACCAACACAGGTATACTTTCTTTAAAAAAAAAGATTAATTATAGCTTGAGCCTACGTAGGAGAAACCTAGCGTTACTGTTCTTGACTTTACAGATACTCTTAGTGGATAAAGCCCACAGATAATATCTCCTTTTGTCCCTCATTCCTTCTTGTTACACTGCTATCTAAATAATTTCATAGATACTATGGGGGCTATGCAAGGAATACGAAAATTTTGGTGTAGTTATCTATCATCTCCTTCCCTCCCCCCATCTTCTAAAACTTTCTTGAACTTCTATAGCAATTCTTCCCCAAGAGGGAGGTCTTGCTTCATCAATGCAGGATTCTATAATGAGCAGTTGCTTTGGTTTTAAATGGCCTGACACTGAAAAGGTAGTTAAAGTAGACGCTCTGCAGGACGGCAGCCTGAGGAGAAGCACGGGGCCTCCTCCCTCCACACACACACTGCTGAGTACGGAAGAGCAAAGAGAAAGTTCACAGCACCCTGGAAGCAGCACACTAGACACAGGGAACAAAGTCGTCTAGGAGGGCTGAGAAGTTGTGCAGAACAAAAGCCAAGCATCCCAACGCTGGTGATGCTCGTTGTGCACTCGCTGGACGCCAAGCACCCTGCCAGGAGCTTCGTGTGTCACCTCATTGAATCCTCATGAGGACCCTGGGGAGGGGAGTGGGGGGAAGCCCTCGCAGAGCACAGTACCACAGTCCATGTGGGGAGGGAGCTCCCTGAGATGGGACCAGTCAAGACTCCCTGTCCGTGAGCTGGGGGCTTCTTAGGAATCACAGGAGGGACTTTGAGAACGGCAGCGTGTTCCAGCCCTGCCCATCCAGTTGAGCCCGCCTGTCTGCATGCTCACTCCTAAGGTTGTGCCTCTTTGGATGCCAAGATTTAGACCCCTGGTTCCTGAAAGCCAGTCCTCTGACAAGTGAGACTCTGTGGATAGGTTTCCTCAAGTCCATGGCAAAAAGGAGACCAATGAGGATGGTGTGGTAAGCTTTCCGTGAAGCTACCTGTGCTCCTGGTAAAGGGCATATTCTTTAACCTGAGACTGTGTCCTTCTTACTTAGTTAATGTTAAAATAGCCTTTATTTTATAAGGTGTTGTTGAGATTAAATGGTGGGTCCATGGTTAGTTTTTGGTTTGTGTGTATGTTAGTTGTCTTATATGGCAAATGTGTTGCCAAGCCTTAAGGCAGTCACAGATTTTTTTTCCTTCAAAATTTGATTCCTTTATGAAGTCTAAAAGAATGAAGATCACTGATTTAGATCTTTCCTTTGACTGTCTTCCTTGTGAGGTGATCTCTCAAGTCTAGTAGTTCCCAAACTGTAATTTTTTGTAGCAGAACTCTTTTCCCCGCTCAGGCAAAATTTTTGATAATTCCCCAATATGTGAAACAGATAAAAAGATTGAAAGGATTGTATGGTATATCAGATTATTCTTAAGCTGCAGACAGCCCCCAATCTCAGTGGCTGTTAACAACAAAGACTGGCTCCCGCTCCTGCTCCGACCCAGCGGATGGAGCAGCCCATCTTGAAGGTTGCCAGTCTCCATCCATCATGACGGGGGAGGGAAGAGAGAGCCGGAGGATCTCCCATCCTCAATTAAATGACACATGTCACTTCACCCACAGTCATTGGTCCCAGCTGGTCGCCGAGTCCCACCCAACCACAGGGGCCTGGGAAGTGTAGGCCTGCTGCTTGACTGGAGGTGGAGAGCCAGAAATACCTGGCAGACAGTGCAATTACCACCAACATGTGCAGGTTAAATGTTCATTCAGAAACAGCCCGCTGTTTGCAGGATCTCCGATGCACCTCTCTGCTTGGGGGCAGTTTGAAAGCCCAGCCCTGCCGCATCCCCTCCTGTCCCCTGCACCCCGCACTGCCCCATGTGGCGTGTGAACAGGCTCTCAGCCACCCGTGTAGGAACTACAAAAACAGACACTTTTCTTTTCTACACTAGCAGATGGAAACAAGGGGGGATTAAAATATATCAAGAGTAGACATGAAGGAAGGCACAAAAAAACAGTAATTTTAAAAATGGGAAAAGTGAAGACATATTGTGCATATCTACCTTCTGTTGTACTTTATTTTGTTTTTTCCCCAAAGTCCCAGTACGTAGTTGTGTATCCTAGTTGTAGGTCTTTCTAGCTGTTCAGTGTGGGACGCTGCCTCAGCATGGCTTGATGAGTGGTGCATAGGTCTGCACCCAGGATCCAAACCCGTGAACCCTGGACCGCCAAAGTGGAGCGCAAGAACTTAATCGCTACACCACCAGGCTGGCCCCCTGCTGTTGTACTTTAAGATCAAGATGAAATGGACATTCTTTGCAAAAACAGAAAAACCTTAAAATTGACTGGAAAACCTAAAAGGAGAAATTGGACCACATTTTTAAAAAAATGAGTTTCTCTAAGTTTTCAGGAATATTTAAGCTCTGTGCTGTGTAAACTGTAACACAACCTGGGATAACACCGTACGCTGAAGTTTTGGTTACCTTCAGTCTTCTGGGGCTGCACTGTCCTTCAAGAACCTGGTCAGACGTGGCCTTATAAGTGGAGACTTACCCCTCACCATGCGGATAGTCAGGGTTCCCTCTCCATTAAAATCCATCTAATATTGCCACTTATCTGTGTGTGTCTACTACAAAATGATAGCTCCCTCAAGTATGTCTTAAATTCATTTTGTATGCCTGGAACTGAGCCCAACAAAATGAATCATTTTTTGACCTTAACCCTAAACCCTTGCGCTATCTTTGCACAAAGAAATAAGCTTACTAAGTTCCATCTCACTTAGTATAAAGGTTAAATGTTTAATTAAATTCCAAGATAAAGGAATTGGCATTTTGTTGTTTGTTATTATGTTGTTTATTATGTTAACATAGTGTGTGGGGAGGGTGTATCTTAACACCGCGAGCATTGATTCTGTACAGCCAAGAAGTGCCACCCTACCTAATATAGACCCTACCTAATATGGAAACCTCTCTGTAGTCTCTTTACAAGCAGACACAGAACAGCAACTGTCACTTTCTTTCTTTATTGTTTGGGAGTGTCACATTCAATTAGATGTGAATAAGAAATGAGAAAGATATATTGCAAAAGAAGGGGAAAATGTTTCTATGGTCGTATTTTCTTCTTTTGAAGCAGTAAAAGAAATTATTAAGGAAAAAGATTGATTAGACTATATAAACATTTCTTTAAAACTGACTCCACAAAAATAAAAAGGAAAATAAAGGATAAGATAAATAATTTATACCATGGCTGGTACACAAAGAGTTAATGTCTAAACACTGTAAAGAGCTTATACAAATAAAACTACCACTCTCAAGGCTCTCCTATTTGTAAATGGGAAGAAAACATGAATTCATAGTCATGGAACTGCGGATAATAAATGTAGAAAACATTCATCTTCTTTGATAAAGTAAAAGTAATATTTAAAAATACAATGCAAATAGAGCATAATTTTATACCTACTTAAAAGACAAACTGATTAAACAACTCATAGGTCAAGGATGATATACAGAAGAAATTTTTAAAATATTTTGAATTGAGTAATTGTAAAAATGTGACTAACTACAACTAAAGTAGAATTTGAGGCAAGTTTTTAATCTTAAATATATTTGAAAAAAGTAAGGCTTAAAATCAGTGATCTACATATCCCTTTCAAGACATTTAGAAAAAAAATTATCAAATTAAGGCCAAAGAAAGAAAAGGGGGAGGGGAAATATGCATCTGTACACAGGCAGGTAGTTCAGGAGGGCCCCAGACCACCCTCCGTTTCAGTAATTCACCAGGAGGACTCAACTCATCAAGGCTCTTAGAGACTCGTGGTTACAGTGTCCTACAGTGGAAGGATGCAGATTAAAATCAGCATCAGTTCCAGGCACCGGGGGCTGGCCCCCAGGAGCTCCAGGCATGGGCTTCCCGTTGTCCCCTCCCAGTGGGGCCTTGTAGATAGCGCCGGCTTCTCCCAGCAATGATGTATGGCAGCAAGCACAGAGTATTGCTAACCAGAGAAGCTTACCTGATCGTTGGTGCCCAGAGTTTTTATTGGGGTCAGTCACAGCTACTTTCCAGACACCCCAGAGGTCAAGCTGATACTGCATGGCTCAAGGCCTCCACCGTAAATCACTTCCTCGGCATAGATCCTGGCCCGAGACCCCCAGCTAAACAAAGATACTCTTATCAGGCAGGATATCCCAAGGGCTTAGAGGGTCCCTCCCAGGAGCGGGGGGCAAACCTTTCCTTGGTCAAGGTTAATCCTTTACTACACACGCACACACACATATCTATATATAGATAAATACACACACACATACACGTGTGTATATTATTAGATGTATATCTTTTCTATATATTGCTCCTTTTGTCATTCTGAAATTTGCTCCATTACCTATAGCAATGCTTCTTGCCTTAAAGTAATTCGTCTGATATTACTAAAGCTACCTCAGCTTTTTCTTGATTAGTATTTGCGTAGTTTTCCTCTTTCCATCTTTTTTCTGCGTTTCTGGATGCTTATATTTAGAGCCTATCTCTTAGAAACATAACAATTTTTTTTTCCTTTTAATTGGAGTATTTGTTGTGAGGTACATCATTTAGTATGATTATTAATAATATTTGTGCTTAAGTCTACCATTTACTGTTTATTTTCAATTTGGCCTACCTATCCTGTATTCCTTTTTCTCTGCTTTTTTTTGACAGAGGAGATTCATCAAGTTTTTTTTTTTTTTTTTAACTTCTATTAACCTTTTGCATATGCATTCTTTTACTATTTTTTAGTAGTTACCCTAGATGTCACAACATGCACATTTAACTCACTAAAACTAACATAATTTAGTACTTTTACCACTTCCAGGCCAACATCAGGAGCCTTTAATTCCATTTACCCCATCACCACTTTTGAAGTATCTTGTCATGTATTTTAATTCTCTACATATTTTAAGCCACTTATGATGATGTTGTTGTTTTATATGCTTCATTTTTATTTTAATTACCTACAAATCTGCACTTTATGCCTTCCTGAATTTGCATTCTTCTCTCTTGGACCAAAGAACTCCACTTGGCAGTTCTTTTAGTATGGGCCTGCTGGCAGTGAAATCTCTCAAATTCTGTTTGTCTGGTATATTTCTACTCCATTTTCATTATTGAAGGAAGTTTTCACTGCTTTTGGAATCCTAGGTTAGCAGTTATTTTCTTCTGTATTCCACCCATCCCATTGTCCTCTAACTCTCATCATTTATGTAATAACATCAGCTGTCAGTCCTCCTGTTGCTTCTGTGAAAGTAATGAGCGTCTTTCTCTGGGTGCCTTTAACATTTTCTCTTTGTCTCTGTTTTTCAGCAATCTTTCCATCATGTGCCTGGGTGTGGGTTTCTATTTTTTATCCAACTTCTGGATTCTGTATCTTGATGTCTTTTTATCAGTTTTGGAAAATTCTTGCCCGTTATCTCTTCAAATATTTCTTCTGACCCGTTTTCACTTGTCTCCTCTCATGGGAGTGCAGTGTACCTATGTTAGACCCTTTCATCATGTTCTGAATGTTTTTATTTTAGAAGTGAGTAAATAACATAGGGCCTAGGGCTGGAAATGAGCTTACATCCCATGAAGGAGAGTGAAAAGAAAGATGCAGCCCACTGGAGAATCTTGTTTTCTCTTCCTGACCTTGTTCTTTTTCCATGTGGTTTGAGTGGGTAATTGGGGAGTGTAGGTTGGGATGCTGGAAGCATGTGTGACTTTGCAGAACCCATAGTGCTTCTTGCCAGGGTAAATAAAGCATGAACCACTGAGCTGGTTAGGCAGTGAGCCTGGTGGTTAGGAAGAGCACTGATTTTGGAACAGGCTCTGTATACTCAAATCCTGAATCCTTACTTTACCGTGACCTTAAGCAACTTGCTTCCCTTCTCTGTGTTCAGATCTGTTATTTGTAATAGGATACAGTACATATTTCATAAAATGGAGAGGATTAAACAAAATAATAACAGAAAGCACCTAGAACAGTACTTGGCACATAGGAACATACAATAAGTTTAATGTTTCTTCTTGATCTTATCCTTATTATATTCTTACTGCCCTGCTTATTCTCTGCCCACCCAACATCCCCAAAACAGTTGGCGTTACCTTCTATGGAGGGACGGTCCTAGCAGGACTGAGAAGGGGGTGCTGTATTGGATGTTTGTGCTCGGTTGCAGCAGCTGTTAGTGGGGTATTGTTCATTGTTCTGTACTTAGCATCACCTTTCACTGTCATGGGGTTACACATTCTGGGGCTTTGGGGGCTCACCAGGCCCTGGTGACTAACTCTGGCCTTTCCCTTCCAGTATGGAATGCTCCTTTACCAGAACTACAGAATCCCTCAGCAGAGGAAAGCCTTGCTCTCCCCCTTCTCGACTCCAGTGGTAAGTACAGCTGTGGTCTTCAAAAGTCAAGTTCCTTTTCAGGTGCTATGTCAGCATGTGCTGTGGACATCTCACTTCAGACGAGGTTGCCAGGAGAAGCTCCAGATGAGCATGTGTATTTCAGAGAAGCCAGTATGTCCCACAGCATTCCATGTCCCAGGGGGTGGATTTTGTCATCTCGACAGTGTCTCTGCTGGGGGCACATTCCTCTTCCATCCTTCTCCCCTTGCCTGCATCTCCCCTCAAGGTTGTTGAGGTAGATGGCTCTGTTTAAGGCTCAGAAACTGTCAACAGCAACGTTCAGCTCTACTAAGGAGCCCTTTCCACCTTTGGCTTTTGTTCCTTTCAGCCATGGGTTCTATGGTGCTGTTGACCATCATGCTTGAGTCTTTTGCTGGTGAGGATTCAGAGATTATAATGTCATCTTGTGTTCGCAGGACATACTTTACGTCCCAAAGGTACAGAAACACTTCATCCTCTCAAAATATGATCTTAAAGATCCTTCCGTGTCTTGGAGATGTCAAATTATACAACAGAAAGAATCCATGTGTTTCCCTGAACTAATTTACTGAGAGAAGGACTTGGTTGCTGCTGAGGACTGGGCTCACCCATGATGTTTCCATTTCTCTGATGTGTTTTAGTGAAGGTCAGGGAGCCTGTGAAGGACCACACAGTCCAAATCCTGTTGGGCCCAGTGGCCGCACCAGCAGCCTTTGAATACTGCGAGAGGATTGGAACGTTTCTTATTCTGCATAAGAGAAACCAAAGCCCTTTATAGCTCAAGAGCCTTTGGCCACTGAATTTCCAGCCTGAACCTTAGAGAGTGGGGGGTTGGGTGAGGGGCGTTCCTATCACCTTTTCCTCCCATCTTTACGATTGTTTCATGCCAGGCTTCCCGTGTGCTGCTGTGGCTCATTTCCCTACATTTTAAGACTGTGGCCTTTCCTCTCAGCGCAGTGTCTCTGAGAACTCCCTCGTGGCGATGGATTTTTCTGGGCAGACGGGAAGAGTGATCGAGAATCCAGCGGAAGCCCAAAGCGCAGCCCTGGAAGAAGGCCATGCCTGGAGGGTAAGGCCATGGCCCAGTCCCACCAGGACAGGCTCCCTCGGGGTTGCATCCCCGCCTCTGGTCTTCTCCCAGAAGAATGGCTCTGTGGGTGTTGGCAAGGGAGTGAGATGTTGGGGAGGGGAGGGTAGCATCTCAGTTCTCAACTGCGGAAAGCCATTGGCACTTCTGGGCCCTTCCACATTGCTAGCACCTGCCACCCCCACTGCCTCCCTATCCCTGGGCTCCTGTGGAGGGAGCAGGAACAGAGCAGAGCCCTCTGACCTCTTGGCTCACACGCAGAACTGTTCCTGCTGATGAGTCGTCAGTGGCCATCTGTAGAGAGCACAGAGCCCACGCCTCGTGGCTTGGTCACTAGCTAGCTTCCTGGCCTTGCGGTCTCTTCACTCTGAGGCTTAGGTTCCTAATCTCTGGGCGGATGAATGTCACCCAACTTCTGAGTTTTCCTGAGGTGTAAAGACAGTGTACAAAGCATGAGCCCACAGCTCTGGCGCAGAAAATGTTCCCTGGACTTGAACCTCAGAGTGTGTGGAAAAGGAGACTGTCCCCAAAGCGCTGGGGTCCTGTAGACCGGTGTTTGCAGACCTGCCTGAGTTCAGTGAAGAAGCTCATGCTTTTCTCCTAAGACTTATCAGGAATTTCATTGTATGTCTTCTGTGTGAGAAACAAGAGTCTGCTTCAATACTGGGACCGTTCGAAATATACCGGGTGGCCTCTGTGTCTGTTTTTAACAGCCGTGACCCACAGCTCTTTGTTCTCCGTGATCAGATGGGGTCAGGCAGCTTTCACTCCACAGTCCAGGGCCTTGTCATCCTGGCCAGGCTTCCCGCCCCAAGGTGTGTGTACCGGGTGGCTTGTTGGTTATGTCAGTCTGCTGTCTTAGCGCTAACGTGGGGATTTCTTTTGCAGAAGCGAAGCACGCGGATGAATATCCTAGGTAGCCAAAGTCCCCTCCACCCTTCTACCCTAAGTACAGGTAAACACAGCATGTTGGCCTGATATTTTTGTACGTAAAGAAAATAAAACAGCTCCCACCCTCCCTGAGCTTCACAAAGCTGCCTGGGTCCAGAGCACACCATGAGAGGTGTAGCCATGGGAGTCGGGGCCCCGCGCTGACCACGAGGTAGCGGTGCTGTCAGGGAAGCCGTTCTGCAGAGGGGCCAAGACCCTACCCTCCTTCTCTCTTCCCTCCCGCAGTGATTCATAGGACGCAGCACTGGTTTCACGGCAGGATCTCCAGGGAGGAGTCGCACAGGATCATTAAACAGCAAGGGCTGGTGGATGGGTAAGGAGCCACCACTGATAAAAGCTGGCGTCTGCTGAGGTTTTATTGTGCTAGGCATGTATTCTGTTCGGTTCCTCAGAGCGTTTGCCATGACGGCAGTAGTTATAGCCTCATTTTAAAGGAGAAAACGTGCGCAGAGGTGTCAGTGGTGTGCAGGGTTTGCACGTCCGATAAGTGGCAGAAGAGGGATTGCAGTCCATTTCTGTCCGTACTCCATCTATAACTGTCCTCTCCCTCTTTGTTGAAATTCAAACAGGCAAAGACACAAGCTAGATATTTTTAATTAATAAGGCAGTGGGCACGTGGAAAAAAAATATTTTTGCCCACATCTTTTGACTTCCGCATGGTGTCAGTTACCTTTTGCTGAGAACCAACAACTCCAAACCTTAGTGGTTTAAAACAATAAAGCTCTATGATTTCTCCCAATGGGAATTAGTTGAGTGGCTCTTCTCACCTGGGCCAGCTCTGCTGGGGCAGAGATGGCTTCACTCACGGGTCTGGAGGCCTGTGTGGGCTGTTGGCTGTGGTGATGGGGTGACTAGGCACATGTTCCCAGCAGGCTAGCCTGGGGTCATTCACATGTGGCCCTCACAGGGTCCCCAGGAGCAAGTGAGGTCAGACCGCAGTGCCCAAGCACTTCTCAGGGCTCTCTTTGTGTCACATTTGCTGCCATTCCCTGGGCCAAAGCAAATCCTGTAGCCTGGCCCAGCATCGCTGTGGGAAGGGACTGCCTGAGGGTGTGGATGCAGGGGCAGACATGTGATTGATGGGGGGGGGCGGTTAACACAGCATGCTTCATGGCACAGCTCATCCTGAGGCCTTTCCTTGCTCCCAAGAAGAGACACACTCTGGTCTCCCTCCCTGAAGGACTTGGTTTCCTTGTCAGCTGTCCTTCACTGGGTCTGCTGGAAAAACAGGTTTTTGGCGGCAGCTAAACTCAAAGAACAATCCTTTTGTCCTTCAGCTTTTAAAAAGTTTTATTATGGAAGTTTCCAAATTTACCTAAGAGAGAAGAGGATGATGAACCCCCACTTACTGTTTGCCCAGCTTCAACAATTTGCTGATCTTACTTTGTCTTCCCTCTCCCCACATTATTATTTTTCCTCCTTCTCCTTTTGTCTTCTTCTTCATCTTTTTCTTCCTTCTTCCTTTTTCCATTTCTTCCTCTTTCTTCTTCTAGAATATTTTAAAGAAAATCCCAGACATCCTCGATTTTACTGGTACGTGTATTTCAATGCACGTCTCTAAAAACTAAGGACACTTTTCTTGTGATGCAACTACAATATGGTCATTTCACTTAACAAAGTAAACAAGAATTCCTTAGTGTTATCTAAAATCTAATCCGTGTTCAAATTTCTTCAATTGTCACCAACAGAAGTCTTTTAAATTTAGTTGGTTTAAATCAGGATCCACAAATTGCATTTGGTTGATATGTCTCTTAAATCTCCTTAGATATAATAATAGTCTCCCCCACCACTCCATTCTTCCTTTATTTTTTTTTCTCATGTCTTTCATTTGTTGGAGAAGTGGGCCATTTGCTAGTTGCATGCTTGTGGTTTCTTTTAATATGTCCCTCTGTCTCCTCATTTCCTGTAGAGTGGCAGTCAGGGGCTTGATTAGACTCAGATTCATTCCTTCTGGGAGGGCGCTGCAGGGTGATGCTGAGTACTCTTCCGCCTCAAGTTGAGAGACCTGTAGGGTGTGGTTGTCCTACTTGGGGATCTTCTCAGTGAGCGGGGATTCGGGTGTTGTCAGCGGGACCCTCCTGATAGCTTCCCTTCCCCGTTCACCAAGTGGTTTGAACAGCCGTCGCTGGACCAGAGTCACTATTTCATTAGGGGTTACAAAGTCATCATTTTCTAATTCTATTATTCCTTCTTCATTTCTTAGCTGAAGTGTTTTCCCTGTCATATATTTGGTTTCCTGGAAAACGTAGCTAAATGCTTGATTTTTCCCTTTCATTTATCAATTTTCAGAATCATGACTTGGTGGTCTACCATCTTCCAGTAATGAGAAATGAGGTGTTTTGGGTTTTTTTTTTTTTTTTTTAAGCTATCATGATAAACTTAGATTCTTATGTATTTGATTTATTTCAGTCAACACTATTATTCTTGATGCTCAATATCCTCACTCTGGCCAACGGGACCTCTTTCAAGTTGGTTCCCGAGTTCTTTGACCTAGCACTGACTGTGTTTGATTTCAGGTGTAACAAGGTGCATTAGTCTCACAGGACACATTCCTCTTAGGAGCCCTAATTCTTTCGAGTGGAAAATGGTGTCTGGAGACCATACTCTGTAGATATTTTCTGTGGACAGAGCTAGGACATGTGCTTTTTCAAACTAAAAAATAAATTATAGGTTCACATTCATATTGCCAATTCAAATTGAAGATTATAGGGTTTTTACTTCTTTGATTTTATTGTCTGCGTCTTCTCTTACTCTGAAAATCTTACTCATGACATTAACTTAACTATTTGTTTCACCCCACTCTATTCTAGTTGCTCTATTCTATATAACATCTTGGAAATAATAATACTAATATTACTTCAGTAAGACTACTGAACTTACATTTCTTTGCAGTCCTTCTAATCTTTAAGGAATATTCCAGTCAGCTCATTAAAATACCAGCTTTAAAACAATTCTCTATGGTTCTATTACCAAACTGTTATGCAGTCAGGTTCATATGTTTCAGTTCCTTTCCGATTATTCTAAGTGGAAGTGATTTATTTTCTCTTCATTTTAATGCTGCTTTTTACATTTTTAAAACATTTCCATGGTTGCAAAGTGAAAACTATAAAACAAGGCACGTTCCTTGGTGACTCCACTCTGCCCCCACCCCCGCAATCAGTAACCATTTTTATCAGTGTTTGTTTATCCTTCTATTGTTTTTTTTAAACATAGGCAAAACATCTTTGTTTTCCTGGTCTGCCCCTCTGTAAATGCTGTGCGCCCTGCATCAGCTGTGTCTGAGGATTGCTCCAGAGGTCGCGTGAGGTCGGCCTCCTTTCGTGTTCATTATTTTCAGACTTATGTTATCACAGACAGTGCTCCATCATTTCGTAGTTTTGCTGGTGTCTCTTTGCTGATGAGTTCTTAGAAGTGGGAGTGTTGAGTGGAAGGGTCAAGTCTTATGTAACCTGGTAAAATATTGTCAGATTCCCTCTGGCAGGGTGTGCGCCACGTGGTGAACCCCCCAGAAATTTCTGAGTGACAGTTTTCCCACAGCCTCTTCAAGCTGAGAGGGAAGTTGTAATTTGCACCTCTCAAGAAGAAGGCTGAGTCTTTTTCCATAGGTTTAAGGGCTGATTGCATTTTTTTTTTCCCGAAAATCTGAACTTGTGTATCTTTGCCCGATGTTCTTAATCTGTTTTTTTGCACACATATTTCCCCCAGGTTGTCTCATTTGTCTTTTAAACTTTGCTCATTGGTTAGTTTGGTTGGTTTTTATTTTGATTTACATTTTTCTTTAATTTTATATGGTCACATTTGTCATTTCTGTCCCATATCCTTCCGGATTTTTGAGCCATAGTCATATAAGTTTTTCCCACTCATAAGGGAGTTCGATCCTGTTATCTTTTAGAACTTGTATTATTTCTTTTCTTCCTCTCTTTCTTTCTTTTTGCCTTTCTTTCTTTCTTTCTTCTTTTCTGCCTTTTTTGTTTGTTGGTTTAGATCCCAGATGCATTGAGAATTTATTTATCCTGATGTACTGTGTAAAGAATGGATCTTATTTTATTTTGTTCCCCATGTGGCTTACAGTTGTTCCAAACTGCTTATCTGAGATGTCACCTGTATCACAGAACAGTCCCTCTTAAAGCATTAGAAGTGACTCCTCCTAACTATAGAAACAAGTACGTTTCTCCTGTAAAGTTTCTGGCCTGCCTGTGGAGAGAAAAGCCTGACACCTGAAGTTCCTCTTTCACTGATGTTGTCTGTGTTTAGCTATATGTGTGTTCCCTGGGCTTCTAGTACAGACTGTGTACCCATTTACAGCCCTGAGCTACATCAGAAGTGAGCCCAGAATGTTCTAGTGGTGTTGCCTTTGACCATATTATCTGTGGGATCCATTCTAAGGACGCTGACCGACCAGGTTTGCTTGCCAGGTGACATCATGCTCCTGGAAGAGTGAAGGTTCTACAGGAGGCCTAATTTGGTGCTGTGGCCACTAGTGCGCTTCCCAGGGCCAGGGCAGTGACGATGGCACCTGCATCCCTGCGGAGCTACAGAATCTCAGAGAGGGAGTGTGGGGGACGTGTGTGTTTTGAAGAAGCTTCCCCAGCGAGTCTGAGGTCAGGCCCAGCGGCCCACTTTGCATTAAGAGGGGCTGCCCCTCTGGTGGGGGGGACCCGGTTTGCAGGGGTTAGCACACTCCATCCACTGAATTGTGTTTCGGCTCCTTTCTAGTTTTAAACCATGTTTGTCTTACAACTTTTCCTGGAGCAGAGTCCCAGCTGGCAAGTTTTCCATCGTTTCACCTGTCATTGACGAGGTGTGTGAGCCTGGCCTTTACCACCTCTCCTCCCCAGGAAGCCCTCCTGGCAGTGTCTGCCTTGTTGACAAGCAGGGGGCTCTCTGTCCTCTGGGCTCTTCATTGTCTCTAAGGTGCTAATTTTCAGTCCTGATGTGCGGCTACGGGAGCACTGGCACAAACAAGGGTGAGGAGAAGGGGACCGTCATCACAGTGACGCCACATCTCCCAGTAATTCCTGCACTTAGGGAGGAAATGTGTCTGGAAAATAAGGTAAATTAAATGATCAATTGCTAATCTTTATTGACCCCTGCAGAAGTAATGAAGGGAGGCTGACTGAGAGTCTAACAACAAAAGAAAACAACTTTGAAAGGCAGTGCCGGAATGACAGCTGTTAGAGAACCGGATTCTGAGGGCTTTAGCCTCAAATTATATCTGGAGATAGAAAGAGAGGGGCCAGAAAGAGACGTCAGAGCCCTGGGAGATGTCCTCGAATTCCCCAGTCTCCAGGCAGCTCCCCACGCAGGTGACCGCCTGTGTGCGCGTGCTGTGTGTGTGCTCACGTGTGCACTCACGCCCCACCAGCCCTGCAGGATTCCTGTGAGCACTGAACTCACTGCCTGCGTCCTTCTCCTCTTGCCGTCCCAGCCCAGAACCTGGAGAAGGATCTTTTCAAAGGACAAATCTAGTTCTGTTGTCCCCTCTGCTCAAACCCCCCAGTGGCTCGTCTCCTTGCCCGCAGCATTGCGGCTCTGTCCCTCCCTCTCCTGCCCCTGCTGGACTGGCACTGGGGTCCAGGCCCCTGCCCCAGCCCCTCTGCTGTCCCCAGCCTCCACCTCTGTGCTATCTGTGAGCCCTGGCCCCCCTGCACTCCATGGCCTCAGAAACTCCTTTGTCAGACTCCAGTTCTTTGCAGCTGTCCCCTCCCCTAGGGCACGGAGAGGGGTCCATCCCAGGGCTAACACACACCCTTGTGAGAGCCACGGCGGCGCTCCCCAGCCGTGGAGGAATCGTCTACACCCTTCCTCAGGTTTCACCAGCGTCCTGTGCCGCTGTACCCAGGGCTCCTGCCCGGCTTCTGCTGGCTGTGTGACCTTGGGGAATTGGTTTAACCTCCCTGGGCCCCACTCCCTCACCGTGAAGAGAGGACGAGAACGGGGGCTGTGAGGACTAAATGAGTTAGTGTGTGCGCAGCGGCTCGCTCCTCGAGCGGAGCTGAGCTGTGCCTGGTCACTGTCGGCCCTGGCACACGCAGCTCTTCACTCTCTCAGGAGTGCACTGGTGACCACAGCTGGGAGAGCTCCCGTGCCTGACTCCAGTTCTTAAGGCAGATGAGGACTCACCTGGGCCTCACCCTCTCCTTTCTGGGTTAGGCTCGTGGTTTCTTACCCTGGGTGGCATCCCTTGGTGTGCTTGTCTTTTGTGAACCCTGTCCCTGCAGTTGCCCCTCTCAGAAATCACTGGATCTTGGCGGTTTGCTGGCTGAGAGGTTGTTATCTCAGCCTCTGTGGAGGGTGTGCTGTAGCGCATGACGGCCACAGTCTTCTAGATGCCCCGCAGGAGGGCGTTACTCCCTCTTACAGCCGACGACACCCAGGTTGAGGAGGCAGACTCCCCGGGACCGTGAAGCTAACGAGTGGCAGATCCAGGAGTCTTGCTGACTTCCAGGCCATACCCTTTTCACCCTGGGAGGCTCCTCCATCTTATGAATCGTTTCAGATACACAACCTTTAGGCACAACTGTAAAACTCAAGGCTTTGAGGTAGCCTCAGGATTTCCCCGGGTCGTGCCCCTAAACCGCGAGGCAGATGGGGCGGCGTGTCATGACCGCTCCTCCGGCCTCTCGGTGAGCAGGCCAGGCCACGTTCAGCCTGCAGCTTCCCCTCTGCAGAAGGTAGGGCTGCCCCTCTGCAGCCCTACCTTTTCCTCCAGGACGACCTCGAGTCCTGCAAACTCCTGGGTCTCTGCAAGTAATCATGCTGGTAATCACGCTGAGAACAGAAAACACATCTTTGAGGTAGAAGCACCTGGCGCAGCTCTGCCCAGGAGAGGAACTGGACCTCGCCCTCTTGCTCTGTGCCATGGAGCACATTCCACACCGAGTCCAGATTCTTAGCACTGACGCCTCCAGTCAGCCCCAGCCGAGCCGTGCAATTCCATTCCAGTTGCTGTCTCCAAAGTGTATTCTGAATACATGTCCTGTGAAATGCTGTAATAAAGGGATTGTTAGTCAAGTAAGGTTGGAAAATTCTCCTGCTTGAGCCCCTTAGGGAGTCAGAATGAATATTCACATTTTAAAGTCTGAGAAGTCCTTTACTAACATTCACTGTGAAATTTAGCATTTTAAAGTCTTTGAGAAGTCCTGTAGTAAAATAAAACTTTTTTACCCGTTTAAAAAACAGAATTTTCCAGTCTTGTTTAACTGCTTTCCATCTTAACATTACAATCTAGAAACTGGTGATTTAGCTGATTACTGTAATTTGGTTTCTGATACCCTTATAGTGTGTTCCCTCTCAGGCCATTTCTTCTTTGTCACTTGGATTAGGGTGTCGAGACGTTTTTCTCTTCTTTTCTAATGTGCAACTGTCTATCTTACCAACTAATTCCAGGTTTGTTCATGTAAAAGCAAAGATTTATGCTTCTTTGTGCCTTTTCTAATTTTTTTTCTTTTTTTTGGTGAGGGAGATTAGCCCTGGGCTAACATCCTTGCTTTCTTCCTCTACTTTATATGGGAGGCTGCCACAGCATGGCTTGATGAGTGGTGTGTAGGTCTGCACCTGGGATCCAAACCAGCGAACCCTGGGCCAATGAAGCAGAGTGTGTGAACTTAACCACTGTGCCACCTGGCTGGCCCGTATTCTAATTTTTTTGTATTTTTTATTTTGAAATAATTTCAAATTATAGAAAAGTTGCAAGAATAATATAATGAACTCCTGTATACATTTTACTCAGATACTCTAGTTGTCAACATTGTAGCACAATTCCTTATCATATTCCCTCCCTCTCTCCTGCTTCCCTCCGTCTCTCTTGCCTCCCTCCCTCTCTCTCCCCTTTTCATCTCTCTCTCTCTCCCTCTCTCCTGTTTTTATGTCTGAACATTTGGGGGTAAGTTTTGACATGATGTCCCTTTGATCCTCTTTGTTTCAGTATAAAATTTCTAAAAACAAGGACTTCTCTTACATTACTGTAGTACCATTATAAAAATTAGGAAGTTAACATTGATGCAGTTCTATTGTTTAATGTACACACTTATTCAGATTTTACCAGTGGTCCTAATTACATCCTTTATAGCAAAAGAAAAAACCTTCATGATCCTAAATCCTCTCCTAAGCCAGCATGTCCCCCGTCCTCCTTTGTCTGTCATCGACACTTGTTATGATTAGAGGCCACTTGTTGCAGAGTGTGCCTCAGTTTGGGCGAGTCTGTTTCCTCGTGATTCGGGTCAGGTCATGCACTGTGGGCAGGAGCGCCTGGACGTGATGTCGCGCCATCTCAGTGCGTCCTGTCAGGAGGCGCTCGGGTCCGATTGTCTCACTCCTGGTGGTGGTGCTGGAATACTTGATGAAGACGGTATCGACCAGGTTTCTCTACTGTGAAGTTACTATGTTTCCTTTGTAATAAATAAGTTTTAGGGGGCAGATGCTTTGAGATTATGACAATATTTTGTTTTTCATCAAACTGTCTTCTGCCGATTTTTGCATCCCCTGAGATCTTCTTAATCAGTGGTAATCTATGGTGATTGCCAAATGGTGGTTTTCTAACCCGTCATTCCGTCTCTTTTTCACTGTCCTTCTGCTCTAAGGAAGAGCTTTGTCTTCTCTTCTGTTACCTTATTTGCTCATTTATTTACAATACCGTGTGGACTCATGGATTCCTGTTTTATTCTTTGGGTTATAATCCATTACTTCTGTTCTTTACTTCCATGCCCGGATTTGGTCTCGCTGCCTCCTGGGTCATCATACTGTGAGCATGTCCTTCCTTTCTGACACAGAATGTTCCAGCTTCATCTTGTACTTTCCCTACCTTACCCTGGAGTCCCTGGTTCTGCTCGGTGGAGAGGTGCATTCAGAAACCACAGTCTGGGTGCAGAGCATGCTGTTGCCACTCAGGCCACTTGGATGCTAAAGCGTCCTGTAGCTGCATGGCCTCAAGCCTGTCTCACCAGATGGAGCAGGGAAATGTGTGTGTGTGTGTGTGTGTGTGTGTGTGTGTGTGTGCCTGTGCGTGCGTGCAGATATATATATTAAGTTTGGGTTTTTAAAATTAATAATCAGTTGATTATTTTCCATTCCCAGGCTTTTTCTGCTCCGTGACAGCCAGAGTAATCCAAAGGCATTTGTACTTACACTGTGTCATCACCAGAAAATTAAAAATTTCCAGATCTTACCTGTAAGTATGGATATTTTCATACCAATCTTTAGTTTTTGTTTTCTGGTTCCATTCTTAATGCAATTTTCATGTTATATACAAACAAGACTTTAGATCATGAAATGTCAGACAGTTCCAAGCTCACAGGCGAATCCTTTCAAGAGTTTCTTGCGAGGTTTGTTCTTTGAAATTGGGAACAAAATTTCCCTAGAAATAATATTGAAAGTGGTGGCATGTGCTGAGGCCCACGCACGTGCCTGTGCAGCTCACAGTCACGGCTGAGACGGCACCCGACAGGACAGCAAGAGCAAGGTGCGATGAGGGGCAGGTGTAACGCAGACCTGTGAGCTCAGGAGCCCAAGGCCAGGAGCACCTCTAGTCGTGAAGACAGGCCTTGTATGGTGGGGTCGACCGCTGGCCACTTGACTCTAAGGAGCTGTCTGGTTTGTGCTGGTGGGTACCAGAGTGACTCAAGAAGCTTGGAGAAATCTGACTCAAGGTCTAGCGGCCCCCCGCAAGAGAAGTTACGTTGCTCCTTCCACTTGGTCCCTGGATCAGAAAGCAGATTCTATCTTTGAACAGTTCCAAAAACATCATTATCAACTATGTTAGTTAATACCATTTTTTTTTGCAAATTATTGTTAGTTTTGTCAAATGTAACTTAACTCTCTCTTTGGTGTGCCAAAGTTCAGGTTTGAGTGTTATGTGGGAGACATTTGTCTGCACCTTCAAGAATTCACCATTTAGTTGGGGATAAGATATACAAAACTAGTATCAAATGTTTTTCATAATGATTTGGTGAATTGCAGGTAATAATAACTTTCATGAAATGTTTCCTATGGAACCCAAACCCAGGAAGTATTCTGCCAAGAGAAGGTGACGAGATATTTTCTTCTCAGAGAGTCACTCTGTCCGTTAACAAAGCAAAGCTTTGAGAAGGCTTGATGTAACTGAGTGCATCTGTTTCACATAGTTGAACCTGGTGTTTTTCAAGCTCACTTGAGCCCAGACCTTGAGACCAGCCGTGTCGAGAATTGTGCCATGACAGGAAGCATGAGCTGGAGAAGGACGGGGGCAGTCTTGGTTAGCTTTTGTGAATGAGGCGGAAGCAACCTGCTGGGCTCTTTCTGCTGCGCAGTCTCTTCCTGTGGTGGTCTGATGCCCTCATTTTATAACTGAGAAAATCGGGAGTCCAGCAACTCTCAGTGCTCGCCCTGGACCACACCAGGAGAGAGGGACAGAGTCTGGATTTGAGCCCCGTCTTCCCAGAGTCCACAAAACATGTGTAAATCTGGGAATTGTTATCTGAGTGCTTTATTCACAATCCTTTTCGTTTTCCCTGCGTTATATTATAGACACAGATGTTATTCTCTTAGCTTAAAATATAAAATAAAATGAAAAAATACTTTATAGGAGGCAGAGTGTGTAATGCCATTCTCCCAAATAACCCCAACTCCTAGAAGTATCAAAGGGTCAGTCAGTTGAGACTGACAGCAACAAGATTGCAGCTCTGTGCTTGAACAGGCTACAGAATGTGCCTGTAGCTCCAGTAGTGTTTTTGGAGTTAAGAAGTGGTTCTAAGTTTAGTAGACAAAGGTTTAACGCTAACTTCCTCCATGTGAACAGTGCGGTGTGACTTCCCCATCTACATAGTATTACAGTCATGGAACTTAAAATTCACTAAGTTAAAATTGATGTTAGGAATATAGTTCTTTCTGGGAGATATTGTGGAGTTCCTCCATTTTAATAAAAATAGCTAGCAAATATTCCAGGACCTGGGAAAGTAGCTTTTCCTACACGATCTGATTAACTCCTGACAGTAATCCAACATTTGCTCCATCACGGAGCAAAGTGAACACCAGGGGCTGAAGGAGGGTGCCTGAGGTCCAGCTGTGAGGACCCAGGGCTGTGTGCTCTTTCGTGGGGCGTGCTGTCCCATGCCGAGTGGATGCTCACAGGGCGCCTGGTCACCCTCACTCTCTTTCATGGGACATGCTGTGTGAGTGGATACTCACGGGTTAACTGGTCATCTCATGAGGTTAACTGGCCTGACAGTGGAGCAAGCTGGGAGGAGCTTAGAGCAATCCCCAAACCACGTCAGGAATAGGGCAGCCGGCTGGCCCCAGTAGACCTTAGCGACTTGGTAGCACCCACTACAAATAGCTCGCTCCCCGACTCCCCCCCTGACATATTCTGGCTCACCTCGCTGACTCCATGTGTGTCCCTAAGGAACCAAACCACGGGCAGACAGAGCTAGTACTGACTGTGAGCCCTGTTTTGTTCCCTGAGGTGTCGCCTCTAACCCGACAAGTGTTCTTGTGTCTCTCTAGTGCGAGGATGACGGGCAGATGTTCTTCAGCCTTGACGACGGGAACACCAAATTTTCTGACCTGATCCAGCTTGTTGACTTTTACCAGCTAAACAAAGGAGTCCTGCCTTGCAAACTCAAGCACCACTGTATCCGAGTGGCCTTATGACCTCAGATTTACTCTTAGCTGAAGACTGGAGGAAGCTGACACTGGAATGAAGAGGTCTGTGCATTGAGAACACACATCTGTTCTGCACCTTGGGACTCAGAGTGAGATCAGTTAGGTCAGTGCCGACCGACCAAGGTGGACTAGTTTGTTGGACCTAATGATGATTTGCTGCTGCGGATCCAGCAGGATCGCCTTCCTCTGCGCTGGCCAAATCAGGGAGGGCACGAGAGAGCGAGCACAAATTTGAGAATAAACTGGAATGATCGGCTTGGCTGGGCCATGTAGGAACGAGAGCTGGAGAGAAGTAATTGGAAATGAACTCTTGCCCTGGAATAATCTTGACAATTAAAACTGATATGTTTACTTTTTTGTATTGATCACTTTTTTGCACTCCTTTGTTTTCAATATTATATGCAGGCTCTGGTAGGAGGAGATGTGGCTTTTCAGTGCATACAAGACGCAAAGACAGTTTTGAATGGGCAGACTTCAGAGACTGACTGTAGGCCCCCAAATGTTTCCACAGGGTGGTCCCCACCTTCTGCGGGTTACCATACGTGGATTCGGCTCCCGAATAACCCACCACCCCCAGCCCCCCCCCAGTATACTTGAAGAGCTTTTCTTAAATAAAAGGTGTCACCTGTGGCAGGCATTGGCATGTTTCGTGGACCCGGTCAGGCAACCACGGTCTGTCAGTCACTTCTCTCTGCACAGATGTCCCGTACTCTTGTTATTAGCGCACCCAGTCCTCCACAGCTCAGGAGACTTGACTTCTTTGGAAAACTCACTGTTCCACAACACGGCAGGGCTGAGTGACCGTGCCTCTAGTCTGATGCAGGCCAGCCTTCCTAAGACACACCTGGTGCCCATTGCCTGCCAGTGGTGGCTGCTGTGTTGCATTGCCCACCTGGGGTGCTTTCAGCCTCTTCTAGAATGATCACTGCCCTACCCCTCCGCAGTGGCGTGAGTCCTTTCATGGCTGTTCTCCCTTAGGGCATTAAAAGATCTGTACAGAAAAGGGCACCTGCTTGGCTTCCCGCAGCGGCTGTGGGTTTCCATGGTGACAGAGATGGAAATGTTGAGAAGGGCACAGCCACGGCCCGGCATTTAAAGGTCTTTGCTTGATGCCCTGCGGCCTGCTGAAAACCCCCATAGCCTGCGAATGCAGAGCAGCTGTGGCTCCTCGTCTGCTGGCTTGTGGTCAGAAGTACCTCACAGCAGTTGTGGACGTTGAAGAGTGTTATCAACACGGCACAGCACTGCTTCTGGTTCCGGGAGCTCAGTCAGACGGTGGCTTGCGTTGTTCCTCCCTGTCCCTTCCACCTGTTCCCTTAGCTGAGCTATCTAGTGTGAGGGCAGCCACGTCCTTACCTTTGATCTCTGCACAGCAGAAAGGGCTCCCCTGACAAGCAGACAGACTACTGTGTGAAGACAATTTCCTTTTCCCAGATCCTGGCTCCTCTGACTGTGTGCTGGCCACTGGATCGCCGACACTCCGACCCGCCACAGTGCCCCCCGGGACATCCCCGTGGTTTAGGACAGACACAAGGGGCTTCGCTGACGCACATCCACTCTCAGTCAGTCTAGAAACACTGTATTTTAGTTTATGGGCCACACTCTAGTTGTTTTCCATGAAATGTCTACTTATACAAATAAGAATTTTTAGTAAATCATGTTTTTAGCTACAAACGCTCAATCACGTTTTCGTTTGTAGCCAGTTAATCTTCAAACCATCGACAGGTAGTTCTCGAGTGGGTACCCGGCGGCTGCTTCCACTGAACTTCGCTTTAGCTACACTGTTACACCTCTTTCCTCTTCACCGATTGGAAGTAAACCCTTAAAGAACAAAAACAAAAACCCTCTACCACCTCTTCTTTCTGTTTACATAGCCCAGTCTCCACCTGTGAGACAAGACTCGCACACCCTCTCCAATAGACAGCTCGTGTCTGCAGTATTTCATATTTATAAATAACGCATTTTATTTAAAAGGAGGAAAGAAGCTTGACTGACCGTTGTGCATGTAGCTGGTGTGACGTAGTGTTTGTACCTTCCCGCCACAGGGAGTCGTTGGAGAGTGTAAACTTCCCAGCCCCACTGCCTGGCCCTTGTGTAGGGGGCTGGCAATTCCACCTGAAAACAGCCAGCCCCTGGAGGGTGCAGGTGCCCAGCCCAGCCAGCCAGGGGCTACGGACATTCGCCTTTTATTTTTGTATTTAAATTACATGAATGTAAACGGGACAGCTCAGGGTCGTTTTGGAGCCTGTTGATTTCCTATCTCTGCTTGTGGTTTTCTTTTCTAAGATAAAAACTCCATGTAGCAACCTGGACGAAGTGGAAAAGGAAAATGCCAAATGCTTCGAGTATTAGAGTGAATAGGTGAGCTCTGTTACCTTAGGTGTTCGAGTTCCAGAACGTTTTTTTTGTTTGCTAAACCTTGAAGAAATATGTGCCTCAGTCTAGATGTTTTGTCTTGTCTTTTCTGCACTTAATACCTGATGGTTTGACCAATTGGCACACTTCTCCAGGGGCGGGACATGCTCGTCGTAGATTGTGATGTCACAGTGCAAAGCTGTGGTGACCGTGAAGGGCCTGGCGTGTAGACGTCTTCAGGGAATGCAGAAGGTATTAACTTAAGAGACAAAACCTTTATGCCACGTGCTTTGCTCCTTTCTGTACACAGCTCTTCGGCTCGTGAACCTAATTGTAAACTTTCAGGTATTTTTGTACAAATAAGGGACTGATGTTCTGTTTCTTGTAATTAGAAATAAACATTAATACAGTGTTCTTCATTTTCTATTGCTTGTAATGTCTTTCTGTATTTTGAAACTCTGGTTGGTCAGCCACTAAAAACTTTTAGAAATGATGTAGAGTATTATCAATGTGGTTTTCTGCACTAGTTAAAAACTAGTTAAAAAGGAATCGATGTCTGATGATGGTCAAGCTTGCTTGGCCCTGATGAAACGCTGGACTCTCATTTCAGTCGTGCAGTCCTGGGGGGGACCTGGCACTCACATTCTGGCTCCATGTTGGTGCCTGGACAATCTCAGCCACCTCTTCTCCCTCCCCCTCCACTGCAGGAATCCAAAACCTCTGAATGCTTCAAAGGTAGCAGGTCTCCACTCAGGTTTAGCAGACACCTCGAGAAACTCATAACAGTTCACATTTGACAAGTCCGATGGCATTTATCCTACTGCAGTGGGACAATTCAAGTGGTAAGAACCTGGGTTTTCCAGTCAAACGGGCAGAAAGATTAAGGGAATGGATGCCCTGTGCCTCTGCTTCCCCAGAACCTCAGCTGAGACCCTGATGTACCACTTCCCTGTACTTAGGCCTGACCCGCCACCTCCCGCCCCACCCCAGGCAGAGGGTGTGGGTATATTGTCACAAGCCAGCCTTGACCACCAGCAGAAGCACATCTGTGGCGTTTTGAACTCTCCTGTCACTTATTTTCAGAATCTGAGTCCTCGGTTTCTGGTAGCTCACCCCTTTAAGGCAGGCCACCCTTAGAGGAAGAACAATAATAAGAATTCACAGTGCTCTCCTCCTCAGGAGAAGCGTGTGTGGTGTTTACGGTGCGGCTGCTGTGTGAATATGCGTAGGGTATGTGGGCGAGGGCGGTGGGCGTGGGAGGGGAGAAGTAAGCTGGTGTGGGGGGCATGTGGAGGGTGCAGAGAGAAAGGCCGGACGGCAGGCTGTGCAGGGGCAGTGACGTGTGAGAGAGGTGGCTGTGTGCGGAATGCGTGCGTTTTGGTGGAGAGTGCGGTGTAGAGAGGCACTATGACAAGGAAGAGCCTGCGTTTCCATCCTTCCAGAGCCCAGGGCGGGGAAGGACCCACTGGGCCAGCCTCTCAAATGTAGACTTTGGTGGTCCCTCCAAAGAAGATGATGCAATAGGTCACACAGATAAACTGATGGAATTAAAAGAAGCACTCGTAGCACAGCTTTAAACTTGATCTCGCTGCCTAGATCGCATTTTTTATTGGTTTCTAAAACATTTTGGGCAATTTTTAAAATTATAAGAAGGGATTTTTTTTATGATAGAAACATTAGCTTTTACATTTAACAAAATGTAACCAATTTTGGGTTTTAGAATGGTAAACTGGGCATTGCCCCTTCTTATCTTGCAAGTTATACATTAACAAGGACAGGAAATAGAAATGAAAATCCACCTTTAGCAGAGTTAGGCTTCATCTGCCATCCCACAATATACAAGAGAGGCTGCTCCCTGAGGACGGTGAAGACCAACCCCCCGGGGGTAGGAAATGCTGACAGAGGACATTGTGACTGCGGATCTCAGCAAGGCCAGCAGAGGGCACTCCAGGATACATGGCACACCTAGAGGGGGCGCTAATGACCCTTCCTGGGAACAGGCAGGATAGACATGGGCTGATATTGATTGATTGACCCCCTCTCCCCAATACAGTGTGCACTTTCAATCTATAGATATATGAAAGTCTTGTTTGATTTCTGAAAGATTTCTTGAATTACATCTAAATATATTTTTTGTTCCGTTATTGCAGGTATGTTTTTAAAGACAGCAATTAGGTGTGTGTTGGATCCCTCTTATCTGCCTTTCATAACCTTTGCTCTCTCTCAAACCCTTCTACCTCTCATTGCCATTTGGTTTTGTATTGCCATCTCAGTCCATCCTCTGTATCCCTCACGGTGTTTCAGTGGGATCGGTTGCCCCCGAGACACTGCTTCCAATGTGGACTCCACTGCTGGGAAACCCTGGTGTTTCTCTTGCATTTCTCTTCACAGCGGTACAGGCTTTCCTCCCACATATTCCTTGAGCTCTTACATCTCTGCTTTGAGCTTTTGTGAGGTGAATGCTTGATTTGTTTTTAAGTCCATGGTGTTGTTTGGCTGCAGTTTTAATCTACTCCATTGCAGTATTTTTCCAGAGAGTGCTCTTTACCCTTTGTTTTTTGCTACCACTTTCTCCTTTCATCTTGGGGTATCTTCATAGAAGATCAGTGATGGTTCTTTGAAAGAGGTGAGTTTTCCTTGGACCAGCCATTTATAGGAAGTTTGTGTGGGGAAGAAGACAGGGGTTGTGTTTGATGCTAGCAGGACAAAAATGAATAAATAAACCCTATTACAAAGAGTTGCATATGTGAATTCCAAGACCGTGAGCACATAAGCCATTAAGAGTGATCATCTAACCAACCCCTATCCCTGCCTTTGGTCACACCAACCTTCACATTCATCTTTCACACACCTTCCAGATAAATCCCTTAAAATGATATCATATTAATTTTCAATAGAACATTTTTTCCCTTGGTTCTTCTTTTGAAATTTTATACAAAGTCATTTTGGATAATTGTGGAGTTTTGTTATTTGAAATAAAAGTTATGATCAATTCTC